GCCCTTTTCACTACTGTGATATGCATACCCCATACCCGTTTCAAACCCAAGCTCTTTACAAAATACACGAGCATCAACATCATCCCAACCATATGAACACAGTTCTCCACACACACCGTCTTGTTTTATGAGTACAAGACGACTTCTCTCCCATGCTGTGTTATCGGTAGAAGCTACAACAGATATATTTGTTTAGTGATATGATACAAGAATTTGCTAAACTTGGGAGGAAACCAGGGGATCCGAAGAAAACCCATGTGGTTGTGCAGGCGACTCTACTCCTTGTCACATACAAGCGTGGGGTCGAAACCACGATAATTGACCGTTAAGAAAGGGGATGACACACAAGTTAGAGAACTATATTTAACCATACGCTTGCTTTTCCCATAATGTGTAAAATGTATGCGCGTGTATCATTAAGGGCCTTTTATACTGAGCGCGACCAAGAACGCGGCGACGGCATTTGATTGCTCAACTGCTATTTCAAGGAACGCGACAGAATTTTTGTTCGCGCGGAAAGTCACGGAGATTGCCCCCAAAGTGAATTTTTGGAAACAGTTCGGGCGAACGATTGTCGTTAGCCAGAGTGCGAGGCCAACAGTCGTACATGCGACCTATCTGTGGCAGGTGACTTACGACGTCTTCGCCATGCCAGGCGGGCGAATTCCCGTGCGCATCATCGCTTTCAGAACGAACAATGATTCGCATAGAAAATCGCAGATGTCGCGGTTGCATTCGCGCTCAGTATATAATCGGACATTTAGGCCAGCAAGCTTGGCCAGCTATTAAGGAAAACATCGCTCATCAATTATATCCGGGTTCACATACCCTTTAAAATTCACAAATCAGAACGCACACAGTGTGGTTTTGCTGATCAGGCAGACAAGAATGTATCTAATAATTACAAGGCAGGATTAAGAAAATGTAATTGGTTGAGCAGAGTCGAATGATTACATGGTATACCTACCTAGTCGTTCTGTTAAAGATGGCGTTGTTTTGAATGCTACCGTTGTCAAACCTTAAAGAAATCACAACAGATAAATTACTATTAACGGCCCTATTTATGGGCAGTAAATTCTGAGAGCTACAGTGTAGATCATCGGATGGTCGCGAATTACAATGGATTGAAACAGAATTGGCCATTTAATGATTTAAATTAAAAATGGACAATCGAGACATTATTTATTATCGTAAGTATGGTACTTGACATTCGAGACTATATCGTGGACACATCAATACCTGATAACTTCGCTCAGAAACGAGTTATGACTGACAGTTTCAACATATTTATTTTTTCATTATCTATTTTTGAACTAGAGCAAGAACGACTCGCTCTTTATATAAGCCCTACATAATACATCTTCAAAGCAAGTTCTTTGTTGGGCGAAACTATCGGTCAATGGGCTGTCTATAGCGATTACATTTCATCGTATAGAAAATATTATACAAGACTTGGTTAGGAACATTTCGCGCCCTTGTACATATTGTTGTAAGGTACCATGATCGACAACCACTATTTTATTAGTAAAGTAATCCACAAGCAAGAACTAGTAGTGCACATATCAGATATCCCTAAATTATGCTCTGTTCATAACTCCAATTTAATTTCAAACTACCGTCACCGTTAAAGTTATATACGCAGTAAAAATATATGTTTCAGACACGATTGAAAATTTAATTTCACAATTTCATGAAGATATCTTGAATTGTTTATGTGATGTACTCTGGAATTATAAGTTGTATATCAAAATCTGTTGGTCAAATGGATTTCGAGCGAAACAAACCAACGGAAACAGTTCTGGTTAGCAAACTATTTTTTACGGTTAATAAAATATGCCCCAGAACAAATACTATATAATCAAAAACTAATTCAAATTTGTTTCCATGAAAAGACAAATATTATTTAAACCGCGAAATCTCTCACTAGGAAACAACAATACTTCTATAATAGACTGATGAATATACAATTCCATAAATATAAAACAAATAAAAAATATATACAAAACCAGATCTTCATATGCATGAATCTTACCGTCAGTAACATTTATAAACAACAGCAAAAGTACGCTGCAACCCCAATTTGTACCCATGCTAACTGAAGAACTTATACAGGTTTTCTATATATATGAATTTATTTCAGTAGCTATGTATAGAAGTCAATGTATTGCTGAATGCATTATGTTGATAAAATGACGTAAATACTGATAAGGGATGTCTCCACTCTCAAGGTAATATTTGCCACCATGTATCGTATATCCCCTCACAAAATAGCATTGCGAAATCAAATGTTGCTTTATTAGACACGAAACCGAAAATACTCGTTTTGTGTTGTAATAGATATCCCAGTTACCAAGGAGTCTAGAATACCTGCTACGTTAACAAATATATTGTGTACACTAATTCAGAAAGAAATTGAATTTAAAAAGAGGTTTAACATTAAATTTTCTGCACCATCCGGACTAATGGAAACGGATTTTAGAAAGATGTTTTAAACTATATTATCGTTAAAATAACAGCATGATTTGTGTCAGTGAATTCGGGGCATAAATACGTTACCCTCGTAAGATTTCAAGAATTGTAGATATAAAAATAGGGCAGTATAAGCACCCTCCCTCCCACCCCTAAAAACGTAGGTGAGGAGATGTACATCTTTAATGCGCTGTTTAGAACTTAGTGATGATTAAAGATAACCCATAAAAACCTGTTATGACTTTTGAGTAAGTTCAAGACCTCATGAGTTTTAACAACATTAACGGGACTAAACATCTAACTGAATATTTTTCATGATATTGGAAATTAAAAACACGAATTAGAATTCAATATTGATCCATCATGAAATATTTGCTTCTAATATCCAATATTTAAGACACAATGAACATTTTAAGACCACTACACAACCCATATATTCTGTAGACATAATGACCTCGACCACCATTTGCAAAGACCAAAGAAAAGCATATCCCAGAAGACAATGCGAAAGTACTTAATACCCCCCCCCCCCCAAACCACTCATATTACGGTAATGTGTGCTTTTAGACCCATTGTCGTTTATTTTAAGGTCCCAAAGAATGTAGCTGTATACACCCTTTAAATAAACAGTGTCACATCTTACTATATGTGTAAGAATTATGGAAAGTTGCAACATAATCCATGAAAAACTGCAAGATTTAATGATGTTAATATGTCACACCATGACATGACCTGTTAGAAAAATGAGTGATTGCACATCGAATTTTCTAGTTAGTGTTAATAGAACGGAAGCTCATCAAGTGAGCACAAAGTTCTATTTGAATCTAAACGGTTAAGTTGACGCCGTTTGTCCATTTTGAGTTATGCTAATTAGAAATTTTGTTAAATGGTACCCTGGAAAATGAAAGAGAAATAAAATGGGGGGGGGGGGGTAGCGTGCCACTGTTCTGCTCCGACTGGACTAATGAAGACGGTCATACGCCATACAGTGTCCTATGAGGAAAATTGTTCCCGGACAGCGGCGCTACGCCCTACTCTTACGTCGACTTCCAACTGCCAAGGGATATTTTACGTGGGAGTTCGGGTTTTCGACCTATCAGAACGACTATGTTGTCCCTTACCAGACACTCTGTCCTGTACTACTGACAAGATGGAACCTCTTCGGAATAAATGATACAAAGGGATGTACATCCTGAGCCCAAGGAACGAAAAGCAACACTGTGAATAATATCTGGGACGACACTCGGCTTAATAAGGAATGACGAATTTTGACTGTAATATAGCCCTGAACCTATGAGATAAGGAGGGACTGGGGACCAAACCTATCCTCGTACAACCTTCATACTATTAAAATAACTTCTAGAAAAAAAAACCCAAGTTCTCCGTACATGCTTAGGGTACTGGGATAGAACAAAGGCCACAGGTTAAAGTTGGACTCTTCCAAAGTGATTCAGTAGCTTATGATCATCAGTTATTAATTAGGTATGATATACTACCTGAATTGTGGTTTTTAAATAATGACTGATCTCGTGCAACTACTCTTTTCGAGACACCTATAGGACTACTTTGTTATCTATTGATTTTGAATTTGAATGCCCTGGTACTACACAAAATATTTCTGATTTTAGTTTACATTTGATAAATTTTCCCCCAAATCTCCTTTAAAATTTAATTCTCTTTGATATTAACGTTGGAGCGATTTGGGATTACACATTGACCAGAAACCGTGGGCCCGTGTCGGTTGGAATTCGACTGTCCATACATGCCACAGTGTATACATGCCACTATCTATACAGTCCACTGTCCATAAATGCCACTGTCTATACATGCCACTATCCATACATGCCACTATCCATACAGTTACACGACATGGAGTATAATGCTCACCATCATTAGCGTGGTCGATGCATAAAAATAAGACATTAAACCCAATTTCATTCACTTGGAAAAAATGGAAAACGATGATGTGGAATGGTTATACTTGGGAGAAAGTGCAACCAAACGTTTAGAATGTATGACACACGGTTTAATAAATATCACCAAATAACATGTGTCGAAAACCGTTTCCAGAAGTCACCGTGGGCTTATGAAGAAGGAATACGGCATGCAATGTACTATGAATTTTACCGTGCACGCCAAGTTATACACGATACATAAGTATTTCGTCCCATCAGAAAAAAACTAGACGCTCTTCCTTGTCAGACCTCCGTCCTGCACCATTGACAAGGGAAAACACGCTGAAAAAACCCAGCCAGTGCCTTACTCATCGGGCTACGCATAACAAAGTGAACAAAGTGTTCAATACAAATTACGTAATGTTATAATTTGAGATACAGGATTAGAATGAACTTTGCTAACATGAATAATCATGTAAACTACAAAATATTGGCTTATAGTGCATTTCATTAACTGGTAAATGTACGTGGTCGTAACGTACACATGTTGGCTCGAAACCGCGCCACTTGACTCAATGACAGACCTTATGATCTGTACCATACTTACAAACGGAGTCAACATCACAAGAAAGCAAATAAGGTTGATGTGTCCCATATATGACACCTGTTATTTTTATTTAAACATATATAAAACATTCAAAACTACATAATACATGATACGAAACTGTACATTGTACCCCATGTCACCGGTCCGAGATATTTAGGCTCTGAATTTTCAATACAACAATTAAGTTCTTAAAAGTGACCATACCTCTTAAAATTTCATTTTATTTAATCTGCACAAATTTTGATACTATACTGTAGTTTATCTAATGTCACCATTTCGCATAACATGGCTACAAAAATCAATTTACATTTTGTATTTTTGAATTTATGCACAATACAACTAGCTAAAACATGATCCATGTATTTAGACTCTGAATTCGGTTTTACAATATAACAATAAAGCCAAGACTAAAAGCGATTGAATTACACAATGCCACACCCCACATCACTTTAAAACAACAAAAATATTAGAAACTTACATTCGATATTTGAAAGAAAATTGTCATACAACACGTGACTCAGTTAGCCATCTGTATCCGTTAAGATCCAATTTCAAATTTTGATGTATGTTATTGTCATTATCATTTATCATTTGTTTATATATTAGAGAATACATAGTACTGTCATTGTCATTTATTATTTAATTTATCTAAAAATATTACATAACACATAACATATGGTACCGTTATTGTCAATTATTATGTATGGTACTGGCGTTGTCATTTATCATTTAGTTTATGTAAAAATATTACAGAATACATAGCATATTGTACTGTCATTGTCATTTATCCTTTATTTATGTAAAAATATTATAGAATACATTACATAACATATTGTACTGTCATTGTCATTTATTATTTTGTTTATATACAGCCATTACAGACACTATATAACACATGGTATTGTTATTGTCATTATATTAAAAATATAAAAATACATATTTAACACGTTTTGATATAAGGTATTTGAATAAAACATAAAACAATATCACAGAAAGCTTAAGAATTACTGTAAACAACTCGGTTTGTCTATATATATCGTCCAACCATAAAGACCAGCACCATTACCACTAAACTGGTCAACATCGAGAAACTTGTACCTGAAAAGAAAACAAAGAAAATTGTATAAGAGAAAGAGAGAGGGAGAGAGAGAGAGAGAGAGATAGGACACAAACTAGGCCATTTCGGGACGAAAATATGGATCAATTATTCCAATAATTCGCTTGCGCGGAACCGGAGGACCCGGAGAAATCCCACGAGGTTGGACAAGCGACCCTACTGGGTAATCGAAGCCCCGCCAGTTGACTCAATGACAGATCTTATGATACAACGCGCACGCGCTAACCATTCGGCCATCCACGCGCCCCCGCTTTCCCCAAAGAATTGTATAAAGTATAAAACATAATCGAGGCTATTGTATTGACAAGCACATCACGTTCTGTCAATTTAACAAACTAAGATGCTTTGTCAAACTGCGAAATGTAATTCAAACATAAAGATACAAGTAAGCCAATTTAGAGTTGTTTTAATTGGCTCTTCAGTGCTAGCCTTTTTACAAATATCTAAAATGATTACACGGTTCATGCTATTAATTCTAGCAAATGGGGTGGACCTAGAATTTTTGGAAAAAGAGGAAGATGGAGGAGGTGTACAACTATGTGAAGGGATGTGTTCTGAGGTCTATATTATAGTTGTGGACTAGAAGGAAGGTCGAGGCACATATAGTCCTTATGAGAACATATTGCTAGACAATGTCTAGTAATTGACTATTTTAATCTAATATGGTCTTATTTTGCAACTTCAAACTATGATGTTCTCTGTCATGATGGTAAGAAATATAAGACATAGTACTTGGCCTAATTACGAAAGATAAAATGGTGGATATCTTTATTGCAATGGTGGATATCGTTATTGCAATGGTGGATATATTTATTGCAATGGTGGATATACCTTTATTGCAATGGTGGATATCTTAATTGCAATGGTGGATATCTTTATTGCAATGGTGGATATTAATGGTGGATATCTTTATTGCAATGAAATACAAAATGTATCAGTGTTACAGTATTGATTAAATAATTAAACCTTTCAAAAACGTACCTGGTGTATGAAGGTTGGAGCTTCCACTGTTACTGTTGTTGGTAGATTCAGTGGTCGTATTCACAATAGGAGGATTTGCTGGATCCACCGGATTAGGTGAGGTTTTGGGGCTTTGCTGTTGAGAAGTGGTGGTGTTTTCTGCTCGACCTGTTGGATAGATAGAGAATTTAAGTATGTTGTTTAACCAAGTTAGATTCATGGACAAAACTATTGTATGTGTGTGTGACATTCTAATTTACCAACGCCATAATTACGAGATGTTTTGTAATATGATATTGTACGGATCTAACAACATATAATTGATTTTATGTCCTTAAAGAATTCAATTTGATTTCCCAGATTGGATTCAATTATATAATAATAACATGGACCGCGCAAGGCTACGTACATATGTTTTAGTGATATTTCCTTGCACAGACAGGAACGACACACATTGTAGTTAATTGTAGTTAGATGTTTACTTACTCGTCCAATTGTAATTAGAGGTATAAGGAGTAAACGGGGTAACTGTAGTATTGTTTGTATGTGTTGCGTTACCAGAACAAAGCACAGAGAAGGTGTTAGAGTCACCAAAGCATTTCGAGAATGAAGAATTATCTTTGTCTGATCCATACTGTAGTGGCGACATCAGACACGCTTCTAGAATAGGTTTGTCATTACACACAAAAGATGCTCCCCACCATTTAGTACCTAAAATAGTAAATTAAGATAATTAAAACCAGATGTCCACCATTAAGAAATTGAAACCGGCTACCTATCATACAGTATCTAAACAATAAAATAGTATGATTAAAAATAGCTACCCACCATACAGTACCTTAAATTGTCAATTAACATAATTGAAAATAGATACCCGACGTTCAGTACCCAAAATGGTAAATTAACATAATTAAATCCCGCTCCCACTATTTAGTAACCAAAATGGTAAATTAACATTATTAAAACCATTTAATAAGTAAATCAACTTGATTACAATTAGCTACAACCTAACAACAATTAACACCGCTTATACAGTTACGTTTTTATAAATTTCAAATCATAAAGATATGAAACTGAATGAATATAAAGCAAAATGATATTATGCCCCCCACCCCCCAAATGGAATTTCATAACATATGTGTGTGAATGATATATATTGTGAGTATGGCACACTTGGTTTGTATCAAATTAATTTCCAAACTGGCAACAATGTAGTATAATCATTACCTGATGGCAGGCTTGGGGAAGGATATTTATAACCGGATACATAACCAAGAGTTTTGCAAACTGTATTAGCATCATCGTTATCAATATAATCAAAATCACAGACATAACCAGTCGTATTGTTTCTTGTCCACAACAACCTTCCATAGTTACCGTTTTCTAGTCGTAATTCGCCGGCTAAAATAAAAGATAAAATAGGTATATAAATATTATTTCAATAAACATTTGCTGTCATTATGATTTAAAACACAAATTTATATGGTAAACAATCACTGGGTTTATTTCACACTACGTTTCAACAAGTTCCTCTTGTCGTTCTCAAGTAAGTAATGACAGTATAATAGCAAGAAATCAAATTATATACAAGGTAACAAAAACAATAACTAATATGAAACCATCAAAGGGCTAAAAAAGTACAATAATAACATTACCAAATAAACATAGAGGATATTGATTAAACAATTAATTAAAAATTACTATGTGAATCCATCACAGGGCTGACAAACAGAGTCGTAATAACAATATGAACATCAAAGATATTGATTAAGGATTAATTAATTAAGATTTGAATCCATCCAAGGGGTCATAAACAGAGCAGTCATAACATTACAAAATGGACATGAAGGTTATTAATTAAGGATTAATTAAGATATCATAACTCCTTGGGAGAAATAATCCCTTGTCTCTATTTAGTTCAGGTTTAAATCTATTGATTTGGATGGCTTCTTGTAGTTTTCTGGATAAACCCAGTGATTGTTTTCCATATACATTTGTGTTTTATATCATATGTTCAGTTACCAAGTTCCTTGGCGTAATCTTTGACCGAAGGCTGACCTGGAAACCGCACATCGACGAGACTGTAGATAGATGCACCAAAATTCTAAACTTAATGAGGAAAATAACGGGCAGCACTTGGGGGGCCAACAGAGTCACACTAATGATGGCGTATCGTGCTCTCATACGATCTGTATTAAACTACGGCTCTCTGGCCTTCATGAACTGTGCGCCATTACTCTTAAGGAAGCTTTTCACCATCCAATACAAAGCTCTGTGTATTGCGACTGGCGTAGGGCAAGGGACTGGGAGAGAGGCACTACTGCAGGAAGTCGGGGAGTTGCCCCTATCCCTAAGAAGAAAAGAACTAGCGACAAGGTACTGGGCTAAGATCTCGCAACTGGGCGAAAGATCCCCAACCTTTGTCAGTCTAAAAAATACAAGATATGTGAGAGATCCTAGAAAGAAAAGCTTCGGCCAGGGTATCAGGGAAACAATCAAGGAACTGCGACTGGGGGAGTTCGTGATAAATGAACACGACCCCCCAGTGATCGCCCCTTGGACGCTCCCTATACCGCCGGTTAATCTAGATCTAATACAGAAAACCGACAAGAAAAACAACCCCACTGCTGCACGTGCTTTCTCTCTAGAACACCTGGAAGACAACTGGCCGTCTGATGACTGGGACCATGTGTACACGGATGGCTCACGCAATCCTGAAAGGGGCACCAGCTCGTTTGGAATATACCTGCCAAACGGGGAACAGGGAATAAGCAGGAAACTACCCAATAACTGTTCGGTGTACACTGCAGAGCTTGTGGCCATTCGTGACGCTATATCATGGATTTCCCATCAAAAGACTAGTAAGTTCGTCATTCCAAGCGACTCTCTGAGCAGTCTGATTTCAATCCAAAATGACAACTCGGACTCAAGACCAGAAGTCATTTTGGAAATCAGGCAGCTGTACCAGAGGATTTTAGAGAAGGGAAGCAAAGTAGAACTCGTGTGGATTCCATCACATGTCAACATTAGAGGAAACGAGGAGGCAGATCGACTCGCCAATGAAGGTCTCAAGGACACAGCACCACTCCGCACCATAGACTACAGCACCACGGAAATCTACAGTATGGTCAAAAGACACGTCAATTCAATCTGTGAATTAAATCTCGTTGAACTTGACACATACAGATTCCGGCTGGATGACAAGATCTACACAAAGACAACACTCAATCACCCTAGAAGAGATATTTGTAGACTTATATCGAAGCTAAGGGTGAAAGAGCGGCTGCGAGACTACAAACACCAAGTCATCATCTGTGAGTGCGGAGAAGAATGTACCGCCAACCATGTCCTGGTAGACTACGAGGAGGAGAGAAGGGAACTAGTGAGAACAATGGAGACCAACAACATACCATTAAACACTAAGAACCTACTCTTCCCGAGACCAGATCTGAAACTGCAAATCTTCGAACAAATCCACGCCCTAATGGACACAGTTGGACTAAGTAGAATAGTGAAGTAAGAGGGGGTCACGGTTAGACGGGCCCGGCATCTAAACACTAAACTACATAGGGGATTTATACCAAACTGGCAGGATAGTGGAATATGGGGGAGTCACGATCAGACGGACTCGGCATCTAAACACTATTCCACCAAAAACAGACACCAAACCTGGGGTAGTGGAGTAAGGGGAGGTCACGATAAGACGGGCCTGGCACCTAAACACAAACCCCACAAAGATGACATCTACCAAACTAGCAGGATAGTGGAGTAAGGGGGAGTTACGGTCAGACGAACTTTGCACCTAAACACTATTCCGCAAATAAAACTGATACCAAACCCAGAGAGTGGGACAGTGGAGTAAGGGGAGGCCACGATAAGACGGGCCTGGCACCTAAACACTAACCCCAAACGATGACATCTACCAATCCAGAAGCAGACGAGATCATCTACCAAACGATATGTTTTGTATTAAATAAAGGGAAGAACTAAGGCCAAATGGAAAGATTGCAAAATCATATTCTAATAAACAGGAATCAGCTTCGGCTCTGCTATGTCTTTTCTGCGATATCACTTATGTGGAAGCAGACGTTAAACACCAAGAACGATCGAACGATATGTTCAGTTACTAAATGTCGTATAAGGATGTCATTATGATTGTCATTTAGTAAGTCTGCCATGGTCCTTTGAACATTGCAAATAATATGACTTCACAGCAAACCAGACAGAGGGGCGTACTCGTAATGCCACGGGAATGGATAATTCGACAGTTCCCGTTTCTGTCCCACTATATGTTACGGCTAACTACCATTACGTCCAATTTCAAGGGCACGCGTTTTATATTTGGTTTGTTCTAATATTGAGACTATGGCCACTGTTGGCCAGCCCCTCTTTATATATGGCCCCTCTAAGTACTAGTATGGGATGTTCTGATTGTTACATTTTATGTCGTCTAAACTATGAGAAATAAAAAAAGAACGAAACGAAAATTATATCGGTACTCTGACACTATTTTGTCTTCATTGTATATTTTTAAATGTTTTAATTTGAACCAACCTGTTGACGGATTATTACAATATACACCCGCATTATTATAATAATTAGAAGATTCGTTTCCGGCAGATGATTTATAAGGACAGTCAAAAATGCTCGCTTCACTGCCAATACATTCAACTTCATACATCCACCTGAAACAAAATAATGATATTTCTTGATATTTCACAGGGTTATTAGTGAAACGTTCCTTAATCTTGAAATATAAGATTGTTTAGATGACTTTAAATGGAAAAGTTCGTAAGCATTGTATTACCTGGCACTTTCTGTGTACATATATGAGTAATGAGATTTTCCTGTCTCAAAACCATTCTCTCTACAAATCACCTGAGCATCAATATCGTCCCATTTATAACTGTTAATGGTACCCCACATACCATTTTTACTCACTTGAACAAGACCATCTGCAGATATTTTAGTCAACCCATCTAAACAAACAGAAAACGGAACATATCAACACTCTATCAACATGGTATTACATATACTGTAATTAATACATCCTAAGGTGTATTTAAAGAGCATAGGCCAAAGGGAGATGGATAGAATGATAGAGATCTTCTGAAATAACCCCAAAAGGCAAAAAAAGGTAGAAGGTGTTCTTATAAGAGTATACAAGACCTGGGCGATGTTCAACAACCGTTAGTACTATGGCATGATTTAAGAAGCTCCAGCTATATTGAGTAGAATAAGATAATCCCATGGCACCTGGGCGATGTTCAACAACAGTTAGGACTATAGCATGATTTAAGAAGCTGCAGCTATATTGATTAAAATAAGATAATCCCATGGCAAAAATGTTACTGGAAAGCTTTCAATACATCAATAATGTCAGTCCAGCAATTTTGTTATAAGTTCCACTGTTCCAGACAAGCATTATTTTTTTTTAGAAATATCGGTTATATCTGAAAACAAAAACCTATTAGCTCTTTATTGTAGAAATATTAGAAATGGTCCGTAGTACATAAAACGCGTTAAGCCATCAGTAAATATCAATATTACCCACCTTTCACCAAAGGTTGGCCGTCATCACAAGCAACAGCTGCCGCTCCTCCATTACAAATGGTATTACTGTTATATACTGATGTACATTGTTTCATAGAAGTGGCACCAACAGAACATTGTAGATTGGAGAATCTGACATAATATCCGATATTATATACTGATGATGGTAATATTAATCTAGCATTATTAAATCCTAAATCTTTACATACAGCATTAGCTGAGTTAATGTTAAACCCATCAGAACAGAAAGCATAGAAGTAGCGATTTTCTCTTTTTAACAGAACACCACTGCTATTCTTATACTTGGTATGTAGTCTCACTGAAAGATAAAATCAGGACATCGTATGAGATACAACCGTTTCACTAATTGTAAACGTCAATGTATAGAAAAAAACCAATTTATTTTACATATACCAAGTTTTATATATTTTATTTTCGATTGATGGGATTATTTAAAGTAACAGCATTCTTAAAAGGCACACTATAAATCGAGCGAAATATCGTGATGTTAATACATGAATACTCACATGTTCCATAACAGAAGACAGAGAGTGTATTGTACATACAATAACTACTACTACTATTCATTGATACGTAGTTCCAGTCATTATCTTTGCTACATAGTTGTAAGGCTGGCTCAGAATTATAACAAGAAAGATAACTCTTCCACCAATTGTTGTCGCTAGAAATAGCTTGCTGAATAGGATAATTATCTCCATCAGCGAAACCAAGATCTTTACAAACAGTTTTAGCTTCGTTATCATCGAAACCTCCGTCATCACAGATATAACCTGTTTTACCATCTCTAGTGACTTGTACAATACCATAATTAGACCCAGTTCCTACCAGTGAATACTGTACACCTGGTTTGTTTTAAAAATAAAATGCAATTTAGAAATTATGCACGGGAACAGACAAATCGATAAACTTAAATATACACCCATGTTTATAAGAATATAACTATACTTACTGTTTGTATCATTATAACAATAAGCCATCGCTGAATATCTGCAGGTGGAATTGTCATCGTCGCTATTTCTTAACTGACAGTCCTTTAGTTTGGTTTCGGATCCGGAACAATCGGTTCCATAGATCCATACCGGTCTCGAATTACCTTCATAGTCATATTTTTCATATGCTTTACCATACATATGACCTGCTTCCTTACAGACAACGCTAGCATCTTGATCACCCCACTCTAAGCCACATACCGTACCCCAAATACCATGATACAAAACTAAAACTTGTCCTTGTGAATCTACTATGGCATCACCATCGTTACCTGTAATTAAATCCAAATCTAAATATATGCAAGTGTTGAGTAGAAAGTAACGGAAATACGTTTAATATTAACAATATTTTTCTTGTAAACTATACATTTGGTCATAAATCATTCTTATCAGAGAACAAATATTACAACGAGATTTCAATCGTATAATCTAAGAGCTGGGGCAGCTGTTTTATGTTAAGGTAGTACACCAAACTTCCGTGGTCGCTTCAGCCATGGCCAGCACACCAACAGAAATAAGTGTGGGGCTTGCAAATGGCAGATAACTTCCCTTTTTTTGTAGAAAAGTGAAATCTTAACTACTGGTTGCGGCCCAGATTTGTCAATGTTCATTATGAATGTGACTATTTCGGGTTAATAAATTCTAGTAACGACCGCATAAAAATTCATTGATACTACTTACCTGATATTGGTGCAGCGTTGTCGTCAATACACGCTACACTGGCATATGAGTTATTACTAGGACATACAGAACTTTGTACTGGACAATCCGATAATCTACTCTCTGTTCCTGTACAAGAATACGATATGTTTGAAGGTATACTGTAAGTATGATAACTGCTGCCGGGTAGTAGTCGTCCACCTGATGGGAATCCAAGCTGTTTACAAACCACATTAGCTGTATTGGCATTAAACTGAGCAGCACATAACGATCGGTAATTATTATCACCATCAAAGACTAGCACCGCACCACTTGAATTAGCATACTTTGTACTTAGACGAACTGAAGGAGAAATAAACATTTAAAATAAAATGGTAGTTTTGGAAATTAAAATATATAGAATGAGCACGTGATGGAAATGTGTTGGAGAGACTGTTTTGTAGGGGTTTAATCTCTAGGGGTTGTATAACGAATCAAACTAACAAAATCCCTGGACGCAATACTAGGTGTACACACATCCTCGGCAATATTGCATCACCGTTTCAGTTCCGTTGAATATCAGTATGTCTTTCTTGTTATGGGTTATTTTGGTTCAACAAAATATATAACAATGACCGACCTTGTATAAAACTGTTATTGTTATTATGAACAAAGGCATAGGGTCAATTTAATGTTGACCTTGTTTGTAAATGGATATGTTGTGACATTGCTATTGTCAGTTATGTTGATTGGTTTGAGAATAAACATGTTGCTGATTTGTAAACAAATTTATTATTTTTATTATGAGCACAATCATCAGGGTGAGCCCAATGTTGACCTTGTTTGTAAATGAATATGTTGTGGCATTGCCTTGACCATTTTGATTTGGAAATGAATCTATGGTTCATCTGGGAATAAACGTGATGCTGATTTGTAAATAAAAGTATGTTTGATTTTAAAATGAAACTGTACATTGTAACGTTCAAGAGTTGCTTCGTTGAATTTACTCATCATTACTTGGTTGTCAATGGTTTAGTATTGGTGGCAATAGTAATGCAGATGCTATGACAAAAGACTTATTATCTAAAACTTACCTTCACCGTAGCAGAATACAGATGCTGGTTGAGAGTAGGAACATTCCGAGTACGTAGAACCGTCCTGGTATGTCCAGCCATTGTTTTCACATGCATCCAGTATTCTCATCCCGTATTCGCACGAAAATGAATTCCTCCAGTACGTTCCAGTAATATTATTTAAGTTATTACTATAGTAGGGTTCTCCATATTTATAACCCATGGTTTGACAAATAATATTAGCTTTATCACCATAAATCCCATTCAAATCGCATAGCAACGCCCATTTATTTTGCGTGAAGACTTCAACTCTGCCCATGTTTGGTTTTGAAGCTCCAGTCAGCCTGTACTGTGCTACTGCAATACAGAAAATATACGCTGGTTTTCAATTCTATGTGAAAACATACATACTTAAAGATACATTATTGGAGATAAGATAAAGAGCTGGCAGTTCTCACTATAATAGTTAAAACTAAATCATGTAAAGGCAATTTGCTGACAATTTCAGTCAGATTGAATCACTATGAATCGAGCATTAAGCGATTAAAATTTCGGCCAAGCCTAGGTCATCATTAAAGTCTGTACGATAAAAAACAGTCTCGATCATCCATTTCATGATTAAATTATGAACGGAAATCGAGCAGCAAATGGGATCATAATCCAGTAAATATCGCAGGCTAGCGATGCCATTGAGAGTTGATTATGGTCTGGATAAGTTAATTAATAACTAATTAATAATTTAGATAACATTTCAGGCCTAATGAAAGACCTGCAATAGACAGAATTAGTTCTTGCATAATGTATGTTTATGATTTGGTTTTTAATATACAAAAATAAGTTTACAAAAGCGTCTTCCGTGCCTGTAAATATATATTCCTATGAAGTTTTGAACAAATCCTTTGACAACTGTCCTACATTGCATTGCGTATTATTCACTGGAAATAATCAACCAAGCAGTTTGTTACGTAAATTGTTCATACGATGTATGAAAGGTTCGACAGACAAACATCATGATTGATGCTTGTTAAGCGGTGATTAAAACAAGTGATAACAGTATCGTCAAAGTGGTTAACTGGTACTCGCATGGGATTAAGTATGTTATCCATGTAAATTTGTTTGATATCCTAAAATATTAATATCAGAATATCTAACTCTGAAGAAATCATTCAGCTACAAGTACCTAATTATTGAGGAGTGATAATACTATATACTTACATTCTGCTTGGTTATAACAAAACGCAGCAGCACGACCTGAATATCGACAGGTGCCATTTTCGGAGTCCTGCATATCATGGGGACAATCCATGAAACTTGCTTCTGAACCAGTACACCGTACATTGTAGAACCACAGTGGTCTATAATCATCACGATAAATGCGTAATGCCATGCCCGTTTCATAACCAAAGTCTTTACAGAATACCAACGCATCAACGTCATCCCATCCTTCACTACACACTCCGCCCCACATACCATTTTGTTTGACGGACACAATACGACTTCTTTCCCATGCTGTGTTATTAGTGGATGCTGTAAATAATTAAATATAAATGAATTATATTGGTTTAATATGATCATTGCCTTTCGATAAAATTTGACACACTCAAATTAGGTCAATATTTGTTAAATTAGTTTTTTTTTATTATTTTGTTTACTAGGACGACAATTTGCCTTCATACAAAATTTTAAAGATTTGTTAAGGCATGTGTATTCCTCTGGAACCTGTAATAAATTAGTAAAGACGCAGAATTTCGTAATTTATTTTCGGAACAAAATTTTAATCATATAGAGCTTGTACCACCACAAATTGAAATACCATAGTCCAATTAAATAATTTATAAGAAATCTAAATCCCTTACACCATTTTATGACATTTGTTAAATGCTAAAAAGTGGTTGTTCATGTTGCAGTGACGTCAAGAATAAATACTAGAATTACTAATCATATAGCGAATTATTTGATTAAGAAGAAATGAGAATAACTAATTATTATTAATCATGCAGATGAGAACTAGAACTCCATAAATTCGATAACTTACCTACAGGAACTGAGTAGGATGGTGAAGTGTAAAAATATGATGGGGTTGTCGTTGGAATTGGCAATGCTGTTGTTGTATGAGGGACACATGACACAGAAATAAAGTTAGTGGATGAACAGTTCATTCTAGATTCATCGATAGTGTACGAACATTCGTTGAAAGATCTTTCATGACCAAGACAGCGTACAGCCATTACCGAAGGATGCCAGTTAGAAGTAACAATAGAGTTGTCGTAAGAGTTGTTGGGAAGAACCTGACCCATCCCTGATACAAATCCCATTTCACCACAAACAACTTGGGCAGCTTTATCATCAAAGCCATCGTTACATACAGCTATCCACTTTTGATTATGGCGAACCAAAACGGCTCCGGTTGTGTTCAGATACTTGGTGTGAAGCCGGACTGGAAATAAAATATTACGATATGCTTACTCGTTTTAAACCGTTATTATCATTAATATAAACAAACTCGACATATATGTTTTGAACGTGGATTTGATTAAACGTAAAGTTTAAATTTTTGAAAGTGCTGAATTATGACCGATTTTGTTTTCAATAGTTCACGATTTTACCAAAACAATAATAACCAGACCTACGCATGCTACACCCACTTACTATAATACAGCCTGTGTTATTTCTAATCGTCGCCTGTCCAACCTCGTGGGTTTTCTCCGGGTCCTCCGGTTTCCTCCCACTGCTAAAGACCCCTACGTGCAAGCGAATTATTGAAATAAAATTAAACCATATGTTAGTCCCGAAATGACCTAGTTTGTGTCGAGTGGACGTTAAACCCCATTTCTCTCTCTCTCTCTCTTGTTATTTCTAATCAAGTTAACACGTGCGAACGACTTCAATCTATGGTTTCTTTTGATATGAATCCTCGTGGATTAAACATGGTGATTCAATATATAAATCATGTTTTTGTCATGTTGAGAATTTAATATCGCTTTAGCTGTTTGATGTTATTCTATGATGTGACTTGTGGATACGTATTCATTCTTAACAGCAATTTTACAAAATTCGATTAAAAATACACAAATTAAACACTACCTTGACCATAACAAAACATTGAAGGAATGTGATATCTACAGGTATTTCCATCAAAAGGTCCCTGGTAATTGTATTTCTGCCAATCTGTTCGTAGACAAGCATCGATTGAAGGTTCATTACTGTAGCAATCAATGCCAGTCTCCCAAAATACAGTTCCATAACCTGGTTCGAGTACAGGCATGTTTAATCTTTCTCCTTCAGTAAATCCAAATTGGCGACACATTATATTAGATTCTGTGTAATCAAAACTATAGTTGGGACTGCAAACGAAGCCCGTTGCATTTTCTCGGGTAACCATCAACCGCCCATACCGGATCCCATCCCCATGAACAAGACTGTATTGGTTAGCTAAATAAAAATACATTGCATTATATTAGTCCATACAACATATAACATATTATCTCTCAACTATATCGTATTGTGTTTTACGGCTTTTCGTAAGCTCTAATTGGGTTTTCTGTATAACTATTTACAAACTATGGAATACTATTTGATTATACAATATCAATTTTATCTAAGGGGTTTACACCTACCATCAATACCATTGGAACAATAAGCCCCAGCATCAAAGGTATAATAACAATACCCAGTAACAACTTCTTTATTGCACTCATCTAAAGACGTCTCAGATCCACTACAATTCATATTTTTATAAAATCTTGGTTTATAATTGTCCAGTTGTATTTGTAATGCTGAACCTTTATCATATCCCAGTTGCTTACAGGCAACCTCGGCATCCTTATCATCCCAGTCATCATAACAGATAGTACCCCACGTACCATACTGCTTTATTAATATTCTGTTCTGTTGACCGAATTTGATAGATCCGTCAGGCACTGAAAGAATACAATGACATAGTGGCCATTAATAGTCTGTACAATGGGATCTCCAGGTGCTGCTCAGGCGAAAGACCTTCTAGTAAACGAATCAAATATAATATAGTTATTATTACAATTCTTACTCTTCTTTCCTTTTTACCAAGGGCAAAGTTTGTCGAAATTGGGGCGATTCTTGTCATTAACTAGTAAAAACTCACGTGAACTATCTGGATCATTTGGATCAAAACAAGACAGGACGACTTTTTCTGAGCAGGAATTGACCTGGTTTTCCGAATACTGGTATGTACATTGATCAAATGATTTCTCCGTTCCTGTGCAGGAAACGTTGCTAATGCGGATTCCATACGGTGAACCATTGTAGTAGCTATCCCTTCCAAGCTGACCACCCTGGAAACCCAAACTGTTACAAACCACATTTATAGCATTTTGATCAAATCCGTCAGCACATACTCCTCGATATTGTTCAGCATGATATATTCCAAGAACGCCACTGGAGTTTCTGAATGGAGTGTGAAGCCGTGCTGGAAAAAGAAACAAAAACGGTTCTGATTTAGTACATTTAATCGATGGGTTATAGTTGTGGTCGGACCTCACATATTTTATAGTATAATTGCAGTATGTTTTTAATTACCTTTAATTAATGTTTAATGTTTTAATGTATGAATTAAACTTCCTTACATTGTGGTAGTTAACTATAATTTATTGGTTCAATTGATTTTAAACCAATAGTTAGTAAATCTGAATTTTTCTTACCGATTCCATAACAGAACACGACAGGGACCTTGTAATTGCACGTTGTTTGACCATTATTTGTTTCTTTAATCCAAGGTCCAGTTGTACAGGCATCAACAAAATCTACTCGATTTTGACAGTTTACATTATTTGACCAGAACGGTGCACCATATGGAAACTGGTGGGTTTCGATTTCTTTGTACTCCTGTCCGGTTTTAAAGCCTAGATTTCTACAGACCAGATTGCTTTCTTCATAGTTGAAATATCCACTTGTGTCACATAAGTAGCGAGTTTCGCCCTCTATTGTTATTTGAACTTTTCCGGCATTGGTAGAATTTCCATCGATGAGAGAAAAACTTGGAGCTGAAAATCAACACTTGACTGATTATATATTCCACTTAAATTGTGTATGGAGTGGCGTAGTGGGGATTGTAGCAGCAAAAAGGCCAAGAATTGGTAAGGGAGGAGCAGCTACCGCAGGTAGCGAGAAAATAAAAGCCAGGCGATTATGCCTTGAGGGGACTGGGGAGAGTTTTAAGCCTGTAGCTGTCCATTTACACTTCTGTCCCTAGCTATCACCTGAGGCATCCTTTTGGGATCTAGAAGGTGATACAGCGGTTTTGAGTGCACTTTGTTCTAAGAATTGTGTAAAACCAATTTCCCGCTGATAACTCATATTTGGCTCCTTGGGCATTGTATAGCCTCTCGCGGAACTAAATATTATACCCCTAGCTATCTGTAGGAGAACCCTTTTTCAAGTTTTGGATTCAATTTTGTTGTCAAAAATTAGCAATTAAACATCCAGATGTGTATAGTATTTCAAAACATATAAACGCCGAGACCCCTTAGTAAGCCGCCCGCTACAGAACGTAACTTGAAGAAAACCTCCCTTGTTTTAACCTATGCTAATTGTTGGCAAAACTCTAATCAATAGCCACTTTGTTTATTTTACACATCATCTGCGATCTTCGACAACTAGGTAACTTTGGGATCACTTTGATATGTGGCAGTAGCGTTTACAGAGTCTTTTTTCCCTTTAGATCTATATAGCGAAAAACTTACCAGATGAGCTAGCATTATAGCAGTAGGCGCCCGAATCAAAGGTGTAATAACAATACCCAGTAACTATTTCCTTACTGCACTCATCTAAAGACGTCGCAGATCCATTACAATTCATATTTTTATAAAATCTTGGTTTATAATTATCCAGTTGGATCTTTAGTGATGAGCCTTTGTCATATCCCAGTTGTTTACAAGCTAATTCAGCGTTGACATCATTCCAACCATCATAACAAATGGTACCCCACATACCATACTGCTTTATTAATACCCTGTCCATGTTATCTAATTTTATTGATCCATCGGGTACTGTTAAAATACAATAAACGGAGTAAGCGTTACAGTACTACTAAAAACAATAACAGGTTTCAGAGTTGACGGTTGGGCTGTTTTTTAAAATGTTTCCTGCTTCAAACAAGAATGTTTAGAGTAAACGTGTGAAACCATTAAATGTCTATTAGACCTCATTTCTTTTGTTTTTGGAATTTGTATCAGATTTCAAGATGTTATGGCAATTAAGAAAGGGTTTTAATGTCTACACATTTGCCTGGGATTATCTTTTACGTCACTAGCTTCCACGCGTATCGGGAGACGGGTTGTAGGAACGTTATGGGACAATTATATTATTTCGAGGTTTAATGATAAAAAGTAGGCATATCATGCATCTAACCTCTACACCTATCAGGATTACCTTACTATTCACAATCACTTAACAAATGTAATTAATTCAAAGATTTTCATTTGCTATAACTACTGTATTGTTCCGAAGGTAAGCAATACTTCAGCTGTTGTTAAATTACACAATTGAAATGTTTCGGGTCGATATATATGTAGTAAAAACTCACGTGAACTATCGGGGTCATTTGGGTCTAAACAAGACAGGACGACTTTTTCTGAGCAGGAATTTATCTGGTTTTCAGAATACTGGTAGGTACATTGATCAAATGATTTCTCTGTTCCTGTGCAGGAAACGTTGCTAATGCGGATTCCATACGGTGAACCATTGTAGTAGCTATCCCTACCAAGCTGACCACCCTGGAAACCCAAACTGTTACAAACCACATTTATAGCATTTTGATCAAATCCGTCAGCACATACTCCTCGATATTGTTCAGCATGATATATTCCAAGAACGCCACTAGAGTTTCTATAGGGAGTGTGAAGCCGAGCTGAAAAGTAAATTATGGCTATTTAAGTAAATTATGGCTATTTAACATGAAGAAATTTTCAAAAAGTCCTTTAAGGACACGAACAATGAACTTTTAGTCCCTGGAAAATTTACGTAATCTAGCCAAAAATGATTTCGTACTGATATACTTTCAAAGATTTTATTAATTACATCATTTATGTATACTGTTATTTTACCTGTTCCATAACAGAAGGCTGAGGGTGTATTGTATACACATTGGTCTGAGGAGGAAACGGGTCCAGTGCGACTTTCCCAAGTTGAACGGATACACGCCGAGTAGCTGGGCTCCGAACCTCCACAATTGAATGTATTCTTCCACCACGCGGTAACTGCAGTGATTTGAAGTTCATCAGAATATGGGTAGTCTCGCCCACTACGGTATCCCATACCTCTACATAAAACATCTCCAGAAGAATAAGAAAAATATCCATCAAGGCACAAATATCTCTCATATCCATCCTTGGTCACCAGGACTCGTCCATAGTTACCGTGCTCCAGTGAAAATATAACTTCTAAAACAGAATGAAGACACGGCATTTGATAAAAATATTCAGCGAAATAGATGGGAGATGAATTTATAAAAGCCAATAACTATATATTGTACTTAACCTGATTAAAACACAGGTCCTATGTCGTTTTGTTTTTTTTATAGTTCAAAATTTCGTTGTTTTACTTGTCTTTAAATATACTACACTAGGAACTGGAAGAATTGTTATATATATAACCTGCATTTTGGTTGATTTGAGGAATTACGGCGAGTTCTTGGCGTGGGGTGCATGGAACTGGGGGTACCCAAGTAGAAACAACAACACTGATTGGTTAATCGATGTATGGCGTCATAGGGTGAAAAGCCACTCGGATGACCCCGACACGACCTTCCATTACAACCGGTCAGATCTTCGTGTAATGTAGGTCATCGAAAGTATAAAAAAACGAAACGAAATATAGATCTGTTCTTTTATAATATGTAAGTATTTATCTAATAAATATTATTGGAAAAAAATGGATGGGTCAAGGACAAATTATTGTCGATTTGTTTTTTTCTAAAGACGCATTGTTGATTGTGGCAATCTATAAGGATCTAGCATAGTCGATACTTACCGTTAATCAATTCAGAATCGAAGAAGATTATTGTCCAGTAGACATAATCATTTATAACCAGGGAGTTGTTCAGTAGTGCAGAACGAAATGTCTCACAAGGAACAATGACTAGTGGGACGTTAAACCCCATTCTATTTTCATTTATAACCAATTACTGTTTATACGCGACATTTGGACCGGGATGTTTGTCGTTATCAGGTAAATAATATATAGATATATATTATGGTTTTGTTCATTTACAGAGTATGAAGATTCATATTTAAACCAAGGTGACCGAAGTTACACATAAAGATAATTACCACTGGACTGATTATAACAATAAGCAAAAGCTGAATTGTAGGTACTGCTATAAGGTCTGCATGTAGAACCATTATCGCCAACAACAGAATAACTGCAGTCTTCTAATCTAGCTTCAGATCCTTGACAGTCAAATCCAGTTGCTAGAGTTGGTATATTTGAATCCCCCGAACTATTGTACGCAGCACTGTTTGACCAGCCGAGTCCTTGACACAGCACCTCTGCATCTCTATCATCCCAGTCTGTAGCACAGATTCTACCTTCAACGCCATTCATTTTAACCTTCACGGACCCATCTGAATCTACCCTGACACTGTTTGCTGTGGATGAATAATTAGATATATTAACACGCATGTAAATGCAGAAGCATCCTTTTGATTTCGGTTAGCGGTCAAGCGGTCTAACGCGTGCGCATTCGATTATGAAGTTTGTCATTGAGTCAAGTGGTGTGGTTCGATCCCTGGCTCGCATGTACGGGACAATGAGTAAGGTTACCTGCCCATCATCGGTGGAAACGAAATATTAAAATATCTCTCTTTTTCTGCCATGGTCCTTTGAACATTGCAAATAATATGACTTCACAGCAAACCAGACAGAGGGGCGTACTCGTAATGCCACGGGAATGGATAATTCGACAGTTTCCGTTTCTGTCCCACTATATGTTACGGCTAACTACCATTACGTCCAATTTCAAGGGCACGCGTTTTATATTTGGTTTGTTCTAATGTTGAGACTATGGCCACTGTTGGCCAGCCCCTCTTTATATTTGGCCCCTCTAAGTACTAGTATGGGATGTTCTGATTGTTACATTTTATGTCGTCTAAACTATGAGAAATAAAAAAAGAACGAAACGAAAATTATATCGGTACTCTGACACTATTTTGTCTTCATTGTATATTTTTAAATGTTTTAATTTGAACCAACCTGTTGACGTATTATTACAATATACGCCCGCATTATTATAATAATTAGAAGATTCGTTTCCGGCAGATGATTTATAAGGACAGTCAAAAATGCTCGCTTCACTGCCAATACATTCAACTTCATACATCCACCTGAAACAAAATAATGATATTTCTTGATATTTCACAGGGTTATTAGTGAAACGTTCCTTAATCTTGAAATATAAGATTGTTTAGATGACTTTAAATGGAAAAGTTCGTAAGCATTGTATTACCTGGCACTTTCTGTGTACATATATGAGTAATGAGATGTTCCTGTCTCAAAACCATTCTCTCTACAAATCACCTGAGCATCAATATCGTCCCATTTATAACTGTTAATGGTACCCCACATACCATTTTTACTCACTTGAACAAGACCATTTGCAGATATTTTAGTCAACCCATCTAAACAAACAGAAAACGGAACATATCAACACTCTATCAACATGGTATTACATATACTGTAATTAATACATCCTAAGGTGTATTTAAAGAGCATAGGCCAAAGGGAGATGGATAGAATGATAGAGATCTTCTGAAATAACCCCAAATGGCAAAAAAAGGTAGAAGGTGTTCTTATAAGAGTATACAGGACCTGGGCGATGTCCAACAACCGTTAGGACTATGGCATGATTTAAGAAGCTCCAGCTATATTGAGTAGAATAAGATAATCCCATGGCACCTGGGCGATGTTCAACAACAGTTAGGACTATAGCATGATTTAAGAAGCTGCAGCTATATTGATTAAAATAAGATAATCCCATGGCAAAAATGTTACTGGAAAGCTTTCAATACATCAATAATGTCAGTCCAGCAATTTTGTTATAAGTTCCACTGTTCCAGACAAGCATTATTTTTTTTTTAGAAATATCGGTTATATCTGAAAACAAAAACCTATTAGCTCTTTATTCTAGAAATATTAGAAATGGTCCGTAGTACATAAAACGCGTTAAGCCATCAGTAAATATCAATATTACCCACCTTTCACCAAAGGTTGGCCGTCATCACAAGCAACAGCTGCCGCTCCTCCATTACAAATGGTATTACTATTATATACTGATGTACATTGTTTCATAGAAGTGGCACCAACAGAACATTGTAGATTGGAGAATCTGACAGAATATCCGATATTATATACTGATGATGGTAATATTAATCTAGCATTATTAAATCCTAAATCTTTACATACAGCATTAGCTGAGTTCATGTTAAACCCATCAGAACAGAAAGCATAGTAGTTACGATTTTCTCTTTTTAACAGAACACCACTGCTATTCTTATACTTGGTATGTAGTCTCACTGAAAGATAAAATCAGGACATCGTATGAGATACAACCGTTTCACTAATTGTAAACGTCAATGTATAGAAAAAAAAACCAATTTATTTTACATATACCAAGTTTTATATATTTTATTTTCGATTGATGGGATTATTTAAAGTAACAGCATTCTTAAAAGGCACACTATAAATCGAGCGAAATATCGTGATGTTAATACATGAATACTCACATGTTCCATAACAGAAGACAGAGAGTGTATTGTACATACAATAACTACTACTACTATTCATTGATACGTAGTTCCAGTCATTATCTTTGCTACATAGTTGTAAGGCTGGCTCAGAATTATAACAAGAAAGATAACTCTTCCACCAATTGTTGTCGCTAGAAATAGCTTGCTGAATAGGATAATTATCTCCATCAGCGAAACCAAGATCTTTACAAACAGTTTTAGCTTCGTTATCATAGAAACCTCCGTCATCACAGATATAGCCTGTTTTACCAGCTCTAGTGACTTGTACAATACCATAATTAGACCCAGTTCCTACCAGTGAATACTGTACACCTGGTTTGTTTTAAAAATAAAATGCAATTTAGAAATTATGCACGGGAACAGACAAATCGATAAACTTAAATATACACGCATGTTTATAAGAATATAACTATACTTACTGTTTGTATCATTATAACAATAAGCCATCGCTGATCCGGAATATCTGCAGGTGGAATTGGCATCGTCGCTATTTCTTAATTGACAGTCCTTTAGTTTGGTTTCGGATCCGGAACAATCGGTTCCATAGATCCACACTGGTCTCGAATTAACTCCATAGTCATATTTTTCATATGCTTTACCATACATATGTCCTGCTTCCTTACAGACAACGCTAGCATCTTGATCACCCCAATCTAAGCTACATACAGTGCCCCAAATACCATGATACAAAACTAAAACTTGTCCTTGTGAATCTACTATGGAATCACCATCGTTACCTGTAATTAAATCCAAATCCAAATATATGCAAGTGTTGAGTAGACAGTAATAGGAATACGTTTAACATTAACTTTGTTTTTTTTTCTGTAAACTATACATCTTTTCATAAATCATCCTGATCAGAGAACACATATTTCAACGAGATTTCAATCCTATTATCTAGGAGCTGTAACAGCTGTTTTTCTATCAAATTACAAGCCATAGCTGAATATCTATAAGTGGAAGGTGGAATGAGTAGCTTAATTAACTTGCAAGAAAAACATCTTGATAAACGAAGCATAAACTCGTCTTATCACCCATTTAAATCACGTGTATACATATACGTCAAGTGACCTCTTAGTACTCCGAACTCCCGGGGTCGCTGCAACCATGGTCAGCACACCCAATAGAAAAAATTGCGTGGCTTTCCTAATGGCAGGTAACTCCCTTTTTTTAGAAAAGTGAAATCTTAACTACTGGTAATAACCGCATCAAAATTCAGTGATACTACATACCTGATACTGGTGTAGCGTTGTCGTCAATACATGCTACACTGGCATATGAGTTATTACTAGGACATACAGAACTTTGTACCGAACAATCCGATAATCTACTCTCTGCTCCTGTACAAGAATATGATATGTTTGAAGGAATACCGTAAGCGAGATAGCTGCTGCCGGGTAGTAGTCGTCCACCTGATGGGAATCCAAGCTGTTTACAAACCACATTAGCTGTATTGGCATTAAACTGAGCAGCACATAATGATCGGTAATTATTATCACCATCAAAGACTAGCACCGCACCACTTGAATTAGCATACTTTGTACTTAGACGAACTGAAGTAGAGATAAACAATTGGGATTAAATAATTGGGAACAAATTAGATGACAAATTCAAAATCATATTGTGGTGTTGCAAATGTATAGTAGTAATTAATTTTTCATAATTCAATTGGTTCCAACAGTATCTGAAACTTACCTTCACTGTAGCAGAATACAGATGCTGGTTGGGAGTAGGAACATTCTGAATAAGAAGAAGCGAGCTGGTATGTCCAGTCACTGTTTTTACACGCATCCAACAATCTCATGCCGTACTCGCACGATGAAAATGAATTCTTCCAGTAATTTCCAGTCATATTATTAAGATCTTCAGCATAGTAAGTTTCACCAGATTTATACCCCATAGATTTACAAACGATATTAGCTTTTCCACCATGAAAACCATAGGTATCACACAGCAAAGCCCATTTATTTTGAGTGAAGACCTCAACTCTGCCCATGTTTGGTTTGGAAGCTCCAGTCAGCCTATATTGTGCTACTGCAATACAGAAATATATACATTTGTTTAATTATTTTTTTTTGAAAACACACATACGTGTTAAAGATAATTCAAACTCAACAAAACATATTACGAAATGTTCACTAAACATTTGCCAATTAGAAGGGCAACTGAGTTACCGTCTTCGTAACTCTAACCAAATTTATTGTAGAACAGACATATTCGAACACTGACATGGTAGAAGTGAAAATTAAAATAATAAGTTTACGTTTAAAACTTTTACAATACTCATCGCGAACAAGGACAGGCAAATACAATACAATACTTACAATCACTTGTGTTATAACAAAATGCTCCTGCTTCTGGTCCATAAGAACACGAACCATTATAGCTTTTCGTATCATACGGACAATCCAGCAAACTTGATTCGGAGCCAGAACATCTCACATTGTAACGCCATCGTACTTTTTGATCATAGAGATAAAGCGATAACGCCATACCAGCCTCACAGCCCAATTCCTTACAAAACACTGTAGCATCAACGTCGTCCCATCCTTCAAAGCAGATACCTCCCCACATTCCATTTTGTTTAACTGTTACTCGACGATTTTTCATCCAAGCTATGTTATTTGTACTAGCTGAAAGATAATACGTGTATATATATTTTAAAAACACATTCGTGATCATTTGCTGACCCTGAAGTTGGAAGAGAACTTTATTTGGAGACATTTAACTGACAAATTTTAGTCTTTTCCGCGGGAGGTACTAATGATAATAAATTAATAGTAAATCTACTTACCCAATATATCACTGACGTTAGAGTTGCTGTTATTTGAATAATATGGTGGTTTGGTAGTGTAATAATTTGCTGGGTTGGTAGTGTTATAATACATTTTGTCGGTAGTTGTAGCATAATCTCCACATTCCACGGCTGCATAGTTTCGGTATGAACAGGTTTCGTTAGTGTACGAACAGTTAAGTAACGATGATTCTCCACCATTGCAATTAAATCTATATGCTCCAATTTGATAACTGAGATATGAATAGGTGGAAGCAGGAATTAAGCGACTGATACCAGAATATCCCATTTCTCTACAAGCTACATCACCTTCAGTTAAATCAAATCCATCCGCACAGACAGCTAATTCTCCATTATAATCTGACTGTACCAAGATGACACCAGTTCCATTACCAAATGGAAGATGGAGTTTCACTAAATGATAAATGATTAAAGTTATTGCAAGATATATCCTAAAAAAAATAAGAATAATATATTGTTTGGAAAGATTGAACTGAAACTATCTTATATCATGGAAACATTTATAAATATGAAATGTGTAACAAACGAAAACAAAACCATGCGCATTATTTTAACAATTTGGTAAAGTTATTCTACAGTGATTATACCTTTTCCATAACAGTAAACCGACATCATATGATAGTCTTCGTTACAACTGGATAACATATAATTACTCTGTTCTGTACCATATGTCCAATTAGACTTAGTAATACAAGAATCTAACACAGGATAACCACTATAACAAGCAATATCCACTCCCCACCAGTTAGTTCCTGAAAATGAATGATATTATAACAATATAAGTACATGTACACGTTATAACATGCTATAGCTCACATATAACATACTTCAGCTATACATTGTAATTTTATACAATCAAATTATCTATGGTAGATATGACATATTTAAGCTCCCAATCTGATCAAATAATCAGTAATTGTTTTGCAATCTCCGATTTCCAATCAATCAAATTAAGGAAAAGAAATTGTAGGAGTATATTTACCATTATATAAGCGTGGAGATGTATATTTCTCTCCTCTACCGTATCCCAATGTTTTACAAACAACATTAGCATCCTCATAGTCAACATATCCTGTATCACAGACATAACCTTCTTTATTGTCTTTAGTTCTAATCAATCTTCCATGATTACCATGTTCCAGTCTATACTCATTACCTAGATATATAAAATCAGATTTCTATAATGATCAATTGTCCACATATTAATGATCCATTCAGATTTGTGTTATCTACAGATTCACCCTTCAATCAATCAGTATTTAGTTCAGTCCCAAAATGCCGGCCACCAGACAGGATTGGTCACACCTATTTGTTCTAATACGTGTACAGCAGCGTCGGCATTTTACCGTGCATCAATGTGAGCTACTGTCTATTCAATATCCATTTCATTATAAAGGCAATTGAACAAATTAGCTGTGTTGGCCCCCAAATACAAAATTACCTTTAGGTAAATTGTAGCAGTGAACAGCAGCGTCACTATAATACCGCGAATCATTTTGTGCTGTTGTCTTGTAAGGGCAATCTAAAATACTCATTTCATTGCCTTGGCAGTTTACTTCAAACATCCACCTGAAATAATACGAAAACAGTTACTAATTCTTTCAGTGCAAATGAGAAAACAAACTACAGATATCTCAGAGAATAATTGATTAATGTCACATTGTTTAATTTCCCTTAATAATATTGACCATCCACTAAACAATAGAATTTGTACCAATCAACACAACTAAGGTCCTTCGCATTGAATTACGTCGCGAGTATCCTAATACCAAGTCATTCCATTGCAAATCTATCAGGTTTATCAATCATTTCAATTCTATCAGGTTTATCAATCATTTCAATTCTATCAGGTTTATCAATCATATCAAATCTATCAGGTTTATCAATCATATCAATTCTATCAGGTTTATCAATCATATCAATTCTATCAGGTTTATCAATCATATCAATTTAAAATAATAATCCATTTTCCACTCAGTTTTTACAAAGCATTTTTACCTTGGTACGTCATGGTTCATACCATACTTTGAGCTTCCGGTTTCATACCCCTTCTCTTTACAGATAACCTGCGCATCGACATCATCCCATCTATAACCATTTATACTACCCCACATACCATTTTTACTCACTTGAACAGTACCATCATTTAAAATTCTAGTCAAACCGTCTGAAAACAGATTTAGAACAACATTCATTATGATAGGGAAATAACAAAACAAATAGTTACCAAATCGCTGGAATCATTACTGATATTACGTGTTTGTTGACATAACATAGCTAATCGTATTATGTGTACTTTAAACCATTTAAATGTAGAACTACATGGGAGATAAAATTGGTCTTACCTGTAACCAAAGGTTTTCCATCATCACAAGCGACAGCCACTGCACCCCCATTACAAAAGGTATTGCTGTTATATACTGATGTACATTGTTTCATAGATGTAGCACCATCAGAACATTGTAGATCGGAGAATCTGACAGAATATCCGATATCATATACTGATGCTGGTAATATTAATCTAGCTTTATTAAATCCTAAATCGTTACATACAGCATTAGCTGAGTTCATGTTAAACCCATCAGAACAGAAAGCATAGTAGTCACGATTCTCTCTTTTTAACAGGACACCACTGCTATTCTCATACTTGGTATGTAGTCTCACTGAAAGTTACAATAAGGATATATTATGAATCCCCATGTTTTAATATATAAATCTATCGAATCAACATAAAATGTGTTTTAGATTAAAACACGCATTCCGAGTGTGTAGCTGCAACTATAGGCGTTAAAGTTGCGGTGTTAGCTTTCTACAGATGCTAAATTCATAGGAGATTAGGAGGGGTGTTTCTATTTGAGTATCTATGTGGGGTGGGGGTCTAATTGAGTGTTGCCACGTTCTTCTGGTTCAATAGGTCATTGACGACACTTGTCGTTATCACGTTTCAAAGGTGTGGAGATATTGGTCCAACGTAAGGCTATCTGTTACGCAGTCCAACAGCGCATAGTCGGCGATGAAGAGAAGTACGCGAAGCTTGTCAGGTCGATGAGCTGCCGACAACTAGTAGACCATATCTGCTGAAAACTATCGCCTGCTTTCAGGATTGTAGTTTGGTGATATCCAAACCTTCGGGCATCGGATATGCTACTCGGACACTCTTAAATTAACGCAATGGTGCGTCGTGTACAAGTGCCAACGTTAGAATATAGTTACTTCTTTAGTCGAATTCAAATTTCCATATTTGCGATATACACAGTATAAATACTCACATGTTCCATAACAGAAGACAGAGAGTGTATTGTACATACAATAACTACTACTACTATTCATTGATACGTAGTTCCAGTCATTATTTGTGCTACATAGTTGTAAGGCTGGCTCTGAATTATAACAAGATAGATAACTCTTCCACCAATTGCTGTTACTAGAAATATTCTGCTGAATAGGATAATTATCTCCATCAGCGAAACCAAGATCTTTACAAACAGCTTTAGCTTCGTTATCATAGAAACCCCCGTCATCACAGATATAGCCTGTTTTACCATCTCTAGTGACTTGTACAATACCATAATTAGATCCAGTTCCTACCAGTGAATACTGTACACCTGTAAATAGTGTATATTATGTAAGGTTATATGCAAACAAAAGGAGATCAATATACACCAACCTGTTATTCTTAGTACACGGTGTGTATTTGTTTGTTTGTTTTATATCATCCCAATTTTCAGATCGATGTAAAAGATATTGTACACTGTACATGAGAAATACCATACATACATATTTTATATATACATGTATATTGTGAATACCATATTTTGTTCATGATGTAACTATACTTACTGTTTGTATCATTATAACAATAAGCCATCGCTGATGCGGAGTATCTGCAGGTGGAATTGGCATCATCGCTATTTCGTAACTGACAGTCCTTTAGTTTGGGTTCGGATCCGGAACAATCTGTTCCATAGATCCATACTGGTCTCGAATTACCTTCATAGTCATATTTTTCAAATGCTTTACCATAAATATGACCTGCTTCCTTACAGACAACGTTAGCATCTTGATCACCCCAATCTGAGCTGCATACAGTGCCCCAAATACCATGATACAAAACTAAAACTTGTCCTTGTGAATCTACTATGGCATCACCATCGTTACCTGTAATTTATTCCAAATATATATATATATATATACATGTATAAATGTTGAGAAGGCAGCAGTAACGCGGATACTATTAATTTAACATAACCACATCTCCCATCCCATGTAAACGTGTACGTCACGTGATCTCTTAGGTTAGTTCACCCAGTTTCCGGGGTCGCTCTTACCTTGGTCAGCACACCCACCATTCAAACGGGTGTCTTGACCACGAAGGGAAATAAGTCTGTGTGGCTTTCCTAAGGGGAGATAATCCCCTTTCCGGGAGAAAAATGAAGTCACACCACTTGGTTGCCTTCCAGATTTGTCAACGGTTATTGTGAATGTGACTTTTTCGGCTTAATAAATCTTAGTAACAACCTACTAAAAATTCAATAATAATATTGTAATTTTATGATACTACCTACCTGATATTGGTGCAGAATTGTCGTCAATACATGCTACACTGGCATATGAGTTATTACTAGGACATACAGAACTTTGTACTGAACAATCCGATAATCTACTCTCTGTTCCTGAACAAAAATACGATATGTTTGAAGGTATACTGTAAGTAAGATAACTGCTGCCGGGCAGTAGTCGTCCACCTGATGGGAATCCAAGCTGTTTACAAACCACATTAGCTGTATTGGCATTAAACTGAGCAGCACATAACGATCGGTAATTATCATCACCATCAAAGACTAGCACCGCACCACTTGAATTAGCATACTTTGTACTTAGACGAACTGAAGTAGAGATAAACAATTGGGATTAAATAATTGGGAACAAATTAGATGACAAATTCAAAATCATATTGTGGTGTTGCAAATGTATAGTAGTAATTAATTTTTCATAATTCAATTGGTTCCAACAGTATCTGAAACTTACCTTCACTGTAGCAGAATACAGATGCTGGTTGGGAGTAGGAACATTCTGAATAAGAAGAAGCATCCTGGTATGTCCAGTCACTGTTTGTACACGCATCCAACAATCTCATACCGTAATCGCACGACGAAAATGAATTCTTCCAGTAATTTCCAGTCATATTATTTAGATCATCAGCATAGTAAGTTTCACCAGATTTATACCCCATAGATTTACAAACGATATTAGCTTTTCCATCATGAAAACCATAAGTATCACACAGCAAAGCCCATTTATTTTGAGTGAAGACCTCAACTCTGCCCATGTTTGGTTTGGAAGCTCCAGTCAGCCTATATTGTGCTACTGCAATACACAAATATACGTTTGTTTCATTATTTTTTTTGTTGAAAACACACATACGTGTTAAAAATAATTTAATCTCAACAAAACATATTATGAAATGTTCACGAAACATCTGCCAATTTGAAGGGCAACTGACTTACGGTCTTCGTAACTCTAACCAAATTAAACAAATTAATTGTAGAACATAATCGAACACTGTCAAGTAATTCGTAAAAACCTACCCGTTGGTAGAAGCGAAAATTAAAATAATGAGTTAACATTTAAAGGTTTTACAATGCTCATCGCGAACAAGGAAAGGGAAATACAATACAATACTTACAATCACCTTTGTTGTAACAAAATGCTCCTGCTTCTGGGCCATAAGAACACGAACCATTATCGCTTTTCGTATCATACGGACAATCCAGCAAACTTGATTCGGAGCCAGAACATCTCACATTGTAACGCCATCGTACTTTTTGATCATAGAGATAAAGCGATAACGCCATACCAGCCTCATAGCCCAATTCCTTACAAAATACTGTAGCATCAACGTCATCCCATCCTTCAAAGCAGATACCTCCCCACATCCCATTTTGCTTAACTGTTACTCGACGATTTTTCATCAAAGCTGTGTTATTTGTACTAGCTGAAAAATAATATATCTATTATAAACCACATTTAAGATCATTTGGCGGATGTTGGAAGAGAACGTTTTACCGTGGTTATTACTGTGAATTTACATAACCAGTGTATCAGTGAAGTTAGAGCTGCTGTTATTTGAATGATATGATGGTTTGGTTGTTTTTGCCGCAGGGGTGGGGGTGGGGTGGGGGTAATAATGATAATAAAATAATAATAAATCTACTCACCAAGTGTATCACCGACGTTAGAGGTGCTGTTATTTGAATAATATGGTGGTTTGGTAGTGTAATAATTTGCTGGGTTGGTAGTGTTATAATACATTTTATCAGTAGTAGTAGCATACTTTCCACATTCTACGGCGGCATAGTTTCCGTAAGAACAGGTTTCGTTAGTGTACGAACAGTTAAGTAACGATGATTCTCCACCATTGCAATTAAATCTATATGCTCCAATTTGATAACTGAGATATGAATAGGCGGAAGCAGGAATTAAGCGACTGATACCAGAATATCCAATTTCTCTACAAGCCACATCACCTTCAGTTAAATCAAATCCATCCGCACATACAGCTAATTCTCCATTATAATCTGACTGTACCAAGATGACACCAGTTCCATTACCAAATGGAAGATGGAGTTTCACTAAATGATAAAGGATTAAAGTTATTTCAAGATATTTCCTAAGAAAATAAGAATATAGTGTTTGCAAAGATTGAACTGAAACTATCTTATATTATGGAAACCTTTATAACCGTTTGTAAATATGAAATGTGTAACAAACGAAAACAAAACCATGCGCATAATTTTAACAATTTGGCAAAGTTATTCTACAGTGATTATACCTTTTCCATAACAGTAAACCGACATCATATGATAGTCTTCGTTACAACTGGTTAACAAATAGTTACTCTGTTCTGTACCATATATCCAATTAGACTTAGTAATACAAGAATCTAACACAGGATAACCACTATAACAAGCAATGTCCACTCCCCACCAGTTAGTTCCTGAAAATGAATGATATTATAACAATATAAGTACATGTACACGTTATAACATGCTATAGTTCACATATAACACACCTCAGGTAAACATTGTGATTTTGTACAAAAATATTAATGGATGGTGTAACATATTTAGGTTCCCCGTCTGATCAAAACACCAGTTACTTTTTTAAAACCTCCGATTTTCAGTCAATCATATTCAAAAAAAGAAAAGAAAGTGGACCCAACCGAGATTAACTGTAGAGCTATATTTACCATTGTATAAGCGTGGAGATGTATATTTCTCTCCTCTACTGTATCCCAATGTTTTACAAACAACATTAGCATCCTCATAGTCAACATATCCTGTATCACAGACATAACCTTCTTTATTGTCTTTAGTTCTAATCAATCTTCCATGATTACCATGTTCCAGTCTATACTCATTACCTAGATATATATATAAATATATATATATAAAATCAGATTTCTATAATGTTCAACTCACAACATATAAATGATCCATTCAGATTTTTGCTATCCATAAAGTTGCTAAGAATATTTCACCCTTCAATCAATCAATCAATCAGTCCCAAAATGCGCGCCACTAGACAGGGCTAGTCCCACCTGTTTGTTCTAAAAGACGTTCAAATACGTCTAAAGCGGCGTCGGTATTTTCCGGTGAAACATTTTGAGCCAAACTGATTAAAACACAGATCCCAATCGTTTCGTTTTTTATAGTTCAAAATGTCGTTTTACTTGTCTTTACTAAACTAGGGTCTGGAAGAGTTGTTATATAACAGGCGTTCTTATTGATATGGGGAATTAGCCAATGAAACGGTCTGTTACGGCGACGTCTTGGCGTTCTCTGCGCTGAACTGTGGGTAAACCCCTAGAAACGTCACCGCTGATTGATTAATCAATGTCTAACGCCATAGGCTCAAAAGCCGATCTTTTGATCCTTGACGTGAAATCCCACTATAACTTGTTAGATCTTCATGTAGTGTAGACCATCGAAAGTATAAAAAAAACGAAAGGAAATATAGATCTGTATTTTACTCAGATTGATTTTGAGCTGATGTCTATTTAGCGATTTAACAGATTACCTATGTGTTGGTTCAAAAATACAAAATTACCTTTAGGCAAACTGTAGCAGTTCACGGCAGCGTCACTATAATACCGCGAATCATTTTGTGCCGTTGTCTTGTAAGGGCAATCTAAAATACTCATTTCACTGCCTTGGCAGTCTACTTCAAACATCCACCTGAAATAATACGAAAACAGTTTCTACTTCTTTCAGTGCAATCGACAAAACAAACGTTCGATATTTCGGGGAGTAATTCATTAACGTCACACGGTTTAATTTCCCGAATAACATTGACCATCCAGTAAACAATAGAATTTGTAGATCAACTGAATAAAACAATATCATTTCTACCAATCAACACAACTAAGGCCCTTCGCATTGAATTACGTCGCGAGTATCCCAATACCAAGTCATTCCATTGCAAATCTATCAGGTTTATCAATCATTTCAATTCTATCAGGTTTATCAATCATATCAATTCTATCAGGTTTATCAATCATATCAATTCTATCAGGTTTATCAATCATATCAATTCTATCAGGTTTATCAATCATATCAATTTTAAATAATAATCCATTTTCCACTCAGTGTTTACAAAGCATTTTTACCTTGGTACGTCATGGTTCATACCATACTTTGGGCTTCCGGTTGCATACCCCTTCTCTTTACAGATAATCTGCGCATCGACATCATCCCATCTATAACCATTTATACTACCCCACATACCATTTTTACTCACTTGAACAGTACCATCATTTAAAATTCTAGTCAAACCGTCTGAAAACAGATTTAGAACAACATTCATTATGATAGCTAAATAACAAAACAAATAGTTACCAAATCGCTGGAATGAATCATTACTGATATGATGTGTTTTATTATGTGTAATTTAAACCATTTAAATGTAGAACTACATGGGAGGATAAAATTGGTCTTACCTGCCACCAAAGGTTTTCCATCATCACAAGCGACAGCCACTGCTCCCCCAATACAGAAGGTATTGCTGTTATATACTGATGTACATTGTTTCATAGATGTAGCACCATCAGAACATTGTAGATCGGAGAATCTGACAGAATATCCGATATTATATACTGATGCTGGTAATATTAATCGAGCTTTATTAAATCCTAAATCGTTACATACAGCATTAGCTGAGTTCATGTTAAACCCATCAGAACAGAAAGCATAGTAGTCACGATTCTCTCTTTTTAACAGAACACCACTGCTATTCTCATACTTGGTATGTAATCTCACTGAAAGTTACAATAAGGATATATGTTGAATCACCATGTTTTAATATATAAATCTAACGAATCATCCTAAATGATATTTAAATTAAAACACGCATTCTGAGTGTGTGGATGCAACTATACACGTTATAGATTCGGCGTTAGTTTCCTACAGATGCTCAATTCATATGAGATTAGAAGGGGGTGTTTCTATTTTACCTTGACTTCTGCCACGTTCTTCTGGCTCAATAGGTCAATGACGTATATCACGTTATATTTGTGTCGTTGAGTAGGAAGGGGGGGGGGGGCTATTTGAGTGCTTTCAAATTCTTCCGGTTCAACAGGTCAATGACGACACTTACCGTTATCACGTTTGAAAGGTGTGGAGATATTGGTCCAATACGTAAGGCTATCTGTTATGCAGACAAACAGAGCGTAGTTGGCGATGATCAGAAGTACGCGAAGCGTATCAGGTCGATGTGTTGTCGACACCTAGTGGACTCTATCGCCTGCTGAAAACTATCGCCTGCTTTCAGGATGGTAGTTTGGTGATATCCAAACCTTCGTGCATCGGCTATGCTACTCAAGCACTCTTGATTAACGCAATGGTACCTCGTGTACAAGTGCAAACGTTAGAATATAGTTGCTTCTTCAGTCTAATTCAAATTTCCGTATTTGCGATATGCTAATTACTATACACAGTATAAATACTCACATGTTCCATAACAGAAGACAGAGAGTGTATTGTACATACAATAACTATTACTATTCATTGATACGTAGTTCCAGTCATTATTACTGCTACATAGTTGTAAGGCTGGTTCAGAATTATGACAAGATAGATAACTCTTCCACCAATTGCTGTTACTAGAAATATTCTGCTGAATAGGATAATTATCTCCATCAGCGAAACCAAGATCTATACAAACAGTTTTAGCTTCGTTAGTGTAGAAACCTCCGTCATCACAGATATAGCCTGTTTTACCATCTCTAGTGACTTGTACAATACCATAATTAGATCCAGTTCCTACCAGTGAATACTGTACACCTGTAAATAGTGTATATTATGTAAAGTATGCAAACAAAATGAGATAAATATACACCAACCTGTTATTGCTAGTACACGGTGTGTATTTGTTTGTTTGTTTTATATCATCCCAATTTGCAGATCAATGTAAAAGATATTGTACACTGTACATGAGAAATACAATACATACATATTTTATACATACATGTACATGTATATTGTGAATACCATATTTTGTTCTTGATGTAACTATACTCACTGTTTGTATCATTATAACAATAAGCCATCGCTGATGCGGAATATCTGCAGGTGGAATTGTCATCGTCGCTATTTCTTAACTGACAGTCCTTTAGTTTGGTTTCGGATCCGGAACAATCGGTTCCATAGATCCATACCGGTCTCGAATTACCTTCATAGTCATATTTTTCATATGCTTTACCATACATATGACCTGCTTCCCTACAGACAACGCTAGCATCTTGATCACCCCACTCTAAGCTACATACCGTACCCCAAATACCATGATACAAAACTAAAACTTGTCCTTGTGAATCTACTATGGCATCACCATCGTTACCTGTAATTAAATCCAAATTTAATATATGCAAGTGTTGAGTAGAAAGTAACGGAAATACGTTTAAAATTAACAATATTTTTCTTGTAAACTATACATTTGGTCATAAATCATTCTTATCAGAGAACAAATATTACAACGAGATTTCAATCGTGTTATCTAAGAGCTGGGGCAGCTGTTTTATGTTAAGGTAGTACACCAAACTTCCGTGGTCGCTTCAGCCATGGCCAGCACACCAACAGAAATAAGTGTGGGGCTTGCAAATGGCAGATAACTTCCCTTTTTTTTGTAGAAAAGTGAAATCTTAACTACTGGTTGCGGCCCAGATTTGTCAATGTTCATTATGAATGTGACTATTTCGGGTTAATAAATTCTAGTAACGACCGCATAAAAATTTATTGATACTACTTACCTGATATTGGTGCAGCGTTGTCGTCAATACACGCTACACTGGCATATGAGTTATTACTAGGACATACAGAACTTTGTACTGGACAATCCGATAATCTACTCTCTGTTCCTGTACAAGAATACGATATGTTTGAAGGTATACTGTAAGTATGATAACTGCTGCCGGGTAGTAGTCGTCCACCTGATGGGAATCCAAGCTGTTTACAAACCACATTAGCTGTATTGGCATTAAACTGAGCAGCACATAACGATCGGTAATTATTATCACCATCAAAGACTAGCACCGCACCACTTGAATTAGCATACTTTGTACTTAGACGAACTGAAGGAGAAATAAACATTTAAAATAAAATGGTAGTTTTGGAAATTAAAATATATAGAATGAGCACGTGATGGAAATGTGTTGGAGAGACTGTTTTGTAGGGGTTTAATCTCTAGGGGTTGTATAACGAATCAAACTAACAAAATCCCTGGACGCAATACTAGGTGTACACACATCCTCGGCAATATTGCATCACCGTTTCAGTTCCGTTGAATATCAGTATGTCTTTCTTGTTATGGGTTATTTTGGTTCAACAAAATATATAACAATGACCGACCTTGTATAAAACTGTTATTGTTATTATGAACAAAGGCATAGGGTCAATTTAATGTTGACCTTGTTTGTAAATGGATATGTTGTGACATTGCTATTGTCAGTTATGTTGATTGGTTTGGGAATAAACATGTTGCTGATTTGTAAACAAATTTAATATTTTTATTATGAGCACAATCATCAGGGTGAGCCCAATGTTGACCTTGTTTGTAAATGAATATGTTGTGGCATTGCCTTGACCATTTTGATTTGGAAATGAATCTATGGTTCATCTGGGAATAAACGTGTTGCTGATTTGTAAATAAAAGTATGTTTGATTTTAAAATGAAACTGTACATTGTAACGTTCAAGAGTTGCTTCGTTGAATTTACTCATCATTACTTGGTTGTCAATGGTTTAGTATTGGTGGCAATAGTAATGCAGATGCTATGACAAAAGACTTATTATCTAAAACTTACCTTCACCGTAGCAGAATACAGATGCTGGTTGAGAGTAGGAACATTCCGAGTACGTAGAACCGTCCTGGTATGTCCAGCCATTGTTTTCACATGCATCCAGTATTCTCATCCCGTATTCGCACGAAAATGAATTCCTCCAGTACGTTCCAGTAATATTATTTAAGTTATTACTATAGTAGGGTTCTCCATATTTATAACCCATGGTTTGACAAATAATATTAGCTTTATCACCATAAATCCCATTCAAATCGCATAGCAACGCCCATTTATTTTGCGTGAAGACTTCAACTCTGCCCATGTTTGGTTTTGAAGCTCCAGTCAGCCTGTACTGTGCTACTGCAATACAGAAAATATACGCTGGTTTTCAATTCTATGTGAAAACATACATACTTAAAGATACATTATTGGAGATAAGATAAAGAGCTGGCAGTTCTCACTATAATAGTTAAAACTAAATCATGTAAAGACAATTTGCTGACAATTTCAGTCAGATTGATCCACTATGAATCGAGCATTAAGCGATTAAAATTTCGGCCAAGCCTAGGTCATCATTAAAGTCTGTACGATAAAAAACATAGTCTCGATCATCCATTTCATGATTAAATTATGAACGGAAATCGAGCAGCAAATGGGATCATAATCCAGTAAATATCGCAGGCTAGCGATGCCATTGAGAGTTGATTATGGTCTGGATAAGTTAATTAATAACTAATTAATAATTTAGATAACATTTCAGGCCTAATGAAAGACCTGCAATAGACAGAATTAGTTCTTGCATAATGTATGTTTATGATTTGGTTTTTAATATACAAAAATAAGTTTACAAAAGCGTCTTCCGTGCCTGTAAATATATATTCCTATGAAGTTTTGAACAAATCCTTTGACAACTGTCCTACATTGCATTGCGTATTATTCACTGGAAATAATCAACCAAGCAGTTTGTTACGTAAATTGTTCATACGATGTATGAAAGGTTCGACAGACAAACATCATGATTGATGCTTGTTAAGCGGTGATTAAAACAAGTGATAACAGTATCGTCAAAGTGGTTAACTGGTACTCGCATGGGATTAAGTATGTTATCCATGTAAATTTGTTTGATATCCTAAAATATTAATATCAGAATATCTAACTCTGAAGAAATCATTCAGCTACAAGTACCTAATTATTGAGGAGTGATAATACTATATACTTACATTCTGCTTGGTTATAACAAAACGCAGCAGCACGACCTGAATATCGACAGGTGCCATTTTCGGAGTCCTGCATATCATGGGGACAATCCATGAAACTTGCTTCTGAACCAGTACACCGTACATTGTAGAACCACAGTGGTCTATAATCATCACGATAAATGCGTAATGCCATGCCCGTTTCATAACCAAAGTCTTTACAGAATACCAACGCATCAACGTCATCCCATCCTTCACTACACACTCCGCCCCACATACCATTTTGTTTGACGGACACAATACGACTTCTTTCCCATGCTGTGTTATTAGTGGATGCTGTAAATAATTAAATATAAATCAATTATATTGGTTTAATATGATCATTGCCTTTCGATAAAATTTGACACACTCAAATTAGGTCAATATTTGTTAAATTAGTTTTTTTTTATTATTTTGTTTACTAGGACGACAATTTGCCTTCATACAAAATTTTAAAGATTTGTTAAGGCATGTGTATTCCTCTGGAACCTGTAATAAATTAGTAAAGACGCAGAATTTCGTAATTTATTTTCGGAACAAAATTTTAATCATATAGAGCTTGTACCACCACAAATTGAAATACCATAGTCCAATTAAATAATTTATAAGAAATCTAAATCCCTTACACCATTTTATGACATTTGTTAAATGCTAAAAAGTGGTTGTTCATGTTGCAGTGACGTCAAGAATAAATACTAGAATTACTAATCATATAGCGAATTATTTGATTAAGAAGAAATGAGAATAACTAATTATTATTAATCATGCAGATGAGAACTAGAACTCCATAAATTCGATAACTTACCTACAGGAACTGAGTAGGATGGTGAAGTGTAAAAATATGATGGGGTTGTCGTTGGAATTGGCAATGCTGTTGTTGTATGAGGGACACATGACACAGAAATAAAGTTAGTGGATGAACAGTTCATTCTAGATTCATCGATAGTGTACGAACATTCGTTGAAAGATCTTTCATGACCAAGACAGCGTACAGCCATTACCGAAGGATGCCAGTTAGAAGTAACAATAGAGTTGTCGTAAGAGTTGTTGGGAAGAACCTGACCCATCCCTGATACAAATCCCATTTCACCACAAACAACTTGGGCAGCTTTATCATCAAAGCCATCGTTACATACAGCTATCCACTTTTGATTATGGCGAACCAAAACGGCTCCGGTTGTGTTCAGATACTTGGTGTGAAGCCGGACTGGAAATAAAATATTACGATATGCTTACTCGTTTTAAACCGTTATTATCATTAATATAAACAAACTCGACATATATGTTTTGAACGTGGATTTGATTAAACGTAAAGTTTAAATTTTTGAAAGTGCTGAATTATGACCGATTTTGTTTTCAATAGTTCACGATTTTACCAAAACAATAATAACCAGACCTACGCATGCTACACCCACTTACTATAATACAGCCTGTGTTATTTCTAATCGTCGCCTGTCCAACCTCGTGGGTTTTCTCCGGGTCCTCCGGTTTCCTCCCACTGCTAAAGACCCCTACGTGCAAGCGAATTATTGAAATAAAATTAAACCATATGTTAGTCCCGAAATGACCTAGTTTGTGTCGAGTGGACGTTAAACCCCATTTCTCTCTCTCTCTCTCTTGTTATTTCTAATCAAGTTAACACGTGCGAACGACTTCAATCTATGGTTTCTTTTGATCTGAATCCTCGTGGATTAAACATGGTGATTCAATATATAAATCATGTTTTTGTCATGTTGAGAATTTAATATCGCTTTAGCTATTTGATGTTATTCTATGATGTGACTTGTGGATACGTATTCATTCTTAACAGCAATTTTACAAAATTCGATTAAAAATACACAAATTAAACACTACCTTGACCATAACAAAACATTGAAGGAATGTGATATCTACAGGTATTTCCATCAAAAGGTCCCTGGTAATTGTATTTCTGCCAATCTGTTCGTAGACAAGCATCGATTGAAGGTTCATTACTGTAGCAATCAATGCCAGTCTCCCAAAATACAGTTCCATAACCTGGTTCGAGTACAGGCATGTTTAATCTTTCTCCTTCAGTAAATCCAAATTGGCGACACATTATATTAGATTCTGTGTAATCAAAACTATAGTTGGGACTGCAAACGAAGCCCGTTGCATTTTCTCGGGTAACCATCAACCGCCCATACCGGATCCCATCCCCATGAACAAGACTGTATTGGTTAGCTAAATAAAAATACATTGCATTATATTAGTCCATACAACATATAACATATTATCTCTCAACTATATCGTATTGTGTTTTACGGCTTTTCGTAAGCTCTAATTGGGTTTTCTGTATAACTATTTACAAACTATGGAATACTATTTGATTATACAATATCAATTTTATCTAAGGGGTTTACACCTACCATCAATACCATTGGAACAATAAGCCCCAGCATCAAAGGTATAATAACAATACCCAGTAACAACTTCTTTATTGCACTCATCTAAAGACGTCTCAGATCCACTACAATTCATATTTTTATAAAATCTTGGTTTATAATTGTCCAGTTGTATTTGTAATGCTGAACCTTTATCATATCCCAGTTGCTTACAGGCAACCTCGGCATCCTTATCATCCCAGTCATCATAACAGATAGTACCCCACGTACCATACTGCTTTATTAATATTCTGTTCTGTTGACCGAATTTGATAGATCCGTCAGGCACTGAAAGAATACAATGACATAGTGGCCATTAATAGTCTGTACAATGGGATCTCCAGGTGCTGCTCAGGCGAAAGACCTTCTAGTAAACGAATCAAATATAATATAGTTATTATTACAATTCTTACTCTTCTTTCCTTTTTACCAAGGGCAAAGTTTGTCGAAATTGGGGCGATTCTTGTCATTAACTAGTAAAAACTCACGTGAACTATCTGGATCATTTGGATCAAAACAAGACAGGACGACTTTTTCTGAGCAGGAATTGACCTGGTTTTCCGAATACTGGTATGTACATTGATCAAATGATTTCTCCGTTCCTGTGCAGGAAACGTTGCTAATATACATTCCATACGGTGAACCATTGTAGTAGCTATCCCTTCCAAGCTGACCACCCTGGAAACCCAAACTGTTACAAACCACATTTATAGCATTTTGATCAAATCCGTCAGCACATACTCCTCGATATTGTTCAGCATGATATATTCCAAGAACGCCACTGGAGTTTCTGAATGGAGTGTGAAGCCGTGCTGGAAAAAGAAACAAAAACGGTTCTGATTTAGTACATTTAATCGATGGGTTATAGTTGTGGTCGGACCTCACATATTTTATAGTATAATTGCAGTATGTTTTTAATTACCTTTAATTAATTTTTAATGTTTTAATGTATGAATTAAAATTCCTTACATTGTGGTAGTTAACTATAATTTATTGGTTCAATTGATTTTAAACCAATAGTTAGTAAATCTGAATTTTTCTTACCGATTCCATAACAGAACACGACAGGGACCTTGTAATTGCACGTTGTTTGACCATTATTTGTTTCTTTAATCCAAGGTCCAGTTGTACAGGCATCAACAAAATCGACTCGATTTTGACAGTTTACATTATTTGACCAGAACGGTGCACCATATGGAAACTGGTGGGTTTCGATTTCTTTGTACTCCTGTCCGGTTTTAAAGCCTAGATTTCTACAGACCAGATTGCTTTCTTCATAGTTGAAATATCCACTTGTGTCACATAAGTAGCGAGTTTCGCCCTCTATTGTTATTTGAACTTTTCCGGCATTGGTAGAATTTCCATCGATGAGAGAAAAACTTGGAGCTGAAAATCAACACTTGACTGATTATATATTCCACTTAAATTGTGTATGGAGTGGCGTAGTGGGGATTGTAGCAGCAAAAAGGCCAAGAATTGGTAAGGGAGGAGCAGCTACCGCAGGTAGCGACAAAATAAAAGCCAGGCGATTATGCCTTGAGGGGACTGGGGAGAGTTTTAAGCCTGTAGCTGTCCATTTACACTTCTGTCCCTAGCTATCACCTGAAGCATCCTTTTGGGATCTAGAAAGTGATATAGCAGTTTTGAGTGCAGTTTGTTCTAAGAATTGTGTAAAACCAATTTCCAGCTGATAAGTCATATTTGGCTCCTTGGGGATTGTAAAGCCTGTCGCGGAACTAAATATTATACCCCTAGCTATCTGTAGGAGAACCCTTTTTCAAGTTTTGGATTCAAATTTGTTGTCAAAAATTAGCAATTAAATATCCAGATGTGTATAGTATTTCAAAACATATAAACGCCGAGACCCCTTAGTAAGCCGCCCGCTACAGAACTTAACTTGAAGAAAACCTCCCTTGTTTTGACCTATGCTAATTGTTGGCAAAACTCTAATCAATAGCCACTTTGTTTATTTTACACATCATCTGCGATCTTCGACAACTAGGTAACTTTGGGATCACTTTGATATGTGGCAGTAGCGTTTACAGAGTCTTTTTTCCCTTTAGATCTATATAGCGAAAAACTTACCAGATGAGCTAGCATTATAGCAGTAGGCGCCCGAATCAAAGGTGTAATAACAATACCCAGTAACTATTTCCTTACTGCACTCATCTAAAGACGTCGCAGATCCATTACAATTCATATTTTTATAAAATCTTGGTTTATAATTGTCCAGTTGGATCTTTAGTGATGAGCCTTTGTCATATCCCAGTTGTTTACAAGCTAATTCAGCGTTGACATCATTCCAACCATCATAACAAATGGTACCCCACATACCATACTGCTTTATTAATACCCTGTCCATGTCATCTAATTTTATTGATCCATCGGGTACTGTTAAAATACAATAAACGGAGTAAGCGTTACAGTACTACTAAAAACAATAACAGGTTTCAGAGTTGACGGTTGGGCTGTTTTTTAAAATGTTTCCTGCTTCAAACAAGAATGTTTAGAGTAAACGTGTGAAACCATTAAATGTCTATTAGACCTCATTTCTTTTGTTTTTGGAATTTGTATCAGATTTCAAGATGTTATGGCAATTAAGAAAGGGTTTTAATGTCTACACATTTGCCTGGGATTATCTTTTACGTCACTAGCTTCCACGCGTATCGGGAAACGGGTTGTAGGAACGTTATGGGACAATTATATTATTTCGAGGTTTAATGATAAAAAGTAGGCATATCATGCATCTAACCTCTACACCTATCAGGATTACCTTACTATTCACAATCACTTAACAAATGTAATTAATTCAAAGATTTTCATTTGCTATAACTACTGTATTGTTCCGAAGGTAAGCAATACTTCAGCTGTTGTTAAATTACACAATTGAAATGTTTCGGGTCAATATATATGTAGTAAAAACTCACGTGAACTATCGGGGTCATTTGGGTCTAAACAAGACAGGACGACTTTTTCTGAGCAGGAATTTATCTGGTTTTCAGAATACTGGTAGGTACATTGATCAAATGATTTCTCTGTTCCTGTGCAGGAAACGTTGCTAATGCGGATTCCATACGGTGAACCATTGTAGTAGCTATCCCTACCAAGCTGACCACCCTGGAAACCCAAACTGTTACAAACCACATTTATAGCATTTTGATCAAATCCGTCAGCACATACTCCTCGATATTGTTCAGCATGATATATTCCAAGAACGCCACTAGAGTTTCTATAGGGAGTGTGAAGCCGAGCTGAAAAGTAAATTATGGCTATTTAAGTAAATTATGGCTATTTAACATGAAGAAATTTTCAAAAAGTCCTTTAAGGACACGAACAATGAACTTTTAGTCCCTGGAAAATTTACGTAATCTAGCCAAAAATGATTTCGTACTGATATACTTTCAAAGATTTTATTAATTACATCATTTATGTATACTGTTATTTTACCTGTTCCATAACAGAAGGCTGAGGGTGTATTGTATACACATTGGTCTGAGGAGGAAACGGGTCCAGTGCGACTTTCCCAAGTTGAACGGATACACGCCGAGTAGCTGGGCTCCGAACCTCCACAATTGAATGTATTCTTCCACCACGCGGTAACTGCAGTGATTTGAAGTTCATCAGAATATGGGTAGTCTCGCCCACTACGGTATCCCATACCTCTACATAAAACATCTCCAGAAGAATAAGAAAAATATCCATCAAGGCACAAATATCTCTCATATCCATCCTTGGTCACCAGGACTCGTCCATAGTTACCGTGCTCCAGTGAAAATATAACTTCTAAAACAGAATGAAGACACGGCATTTGATAAAAATATTCAGCGAAATAGATGGGAGATGAATTTATAAAAGCCAATAACTATATATTGTACTTAACCTGATTAAAACACAGGTCCTATGTCGTTTTGTTTTTTTTATAGTTCAAAATTTCGTTGTTTTACTTGTCTTTAAATATACTACACTAGGAACTGGAAGAATTGTTATATATATAACCTGCATTTTGGTTGATTTGAGGAATTACGGCGAGTTCTTGGCGTGGGGTGCATGGAACTGGGGGTACCCAAGTAGAAACAACAACACTGATTGGTTAATCGATGTATGGCGTCATAGGGTGAAAAGCCACTCGGATGACCCCGACACGACCTTCCATTACAACCGGTCAGATCTTCGTGTAATGTAGGTCATCGAAAGTATAAAAAAACGAAACGAAATATAGATCTGTTCTTTTATAATATGTAAGTATTTATCTAATAAATATTATTGGAAAAAAATGGATGGGTCAAGGACAAATTATTGTCGATTTGTTTTTTTCTAAAGACGCATTGTTGATTGTGGCAATCTATAAGGATCTAGCATAGTCGATACTTACCGTTAATCAATTCAGAATCGAAGAAGATTATTGTCCAGTAGACATAATCATTTATAACCAGGGAGTTGTTCAGTAGTGCAGAACGAAATGTCTCACAAGGAACAATGACTAGTGGGACGTTAAACCCCATTCTATTTTCATTTATAACCAATTACTGTTTATACGCGACATTTGGACCGGGATGTTTGTCGTTATCAGGTAAATAATATATAGATATATATTATGGTTTTGTTCATTTACAGAGTATGAAGATTCATATTTAAACCAAGGTGACCGAAGTTACACATAAAGATAATTACCACTGGACTGATTATAACAATAAGCAAAAGCTGAATTGTAGGTACTGCTATAAGGTCTGCATGTAGAACCATTATCGCCAACAACAGAATAACTGCAGTCTTCTAATCTAGCTTCAGATCCTTGACAGTCAAATCCAGTTGCTAGAGTTGGTATATTTGAATCCCCCGAACTATTGTACGCAGCACTGTTTGACCAGCCGAGTCCTTGACACAGCACCTCTGCATCTCTATCATCCCAGTCTGTAGCACAGATTCTACCTTCAACGCCATTCACTTTAACCTTCACGGACCCATCTGAATCTACCCTGACACTGTTTGCTGTGGATGAATAATTAGATATATTAACACGCATGTAAATGCAGAAGCATCCTTTTGATTTCGGTTAGCGGTCAAGCGGTCTAACGCGTGCGCATTCGATTATGAAGTTTGTCATTGAGTCAAGTGGTGTGGTTCGATCCCTGGCTCGCATGTACGGGACAATGAGTAAGGTTACCTGCCCATCATCGGTGGAAACGAAATATTAAAATATCTCTCTTTTTCTTTATCTGAATCGACGGGATGTGTACATTTATAAATAAATCTAACCCTCCTCGCAAACATGATATGCTATGGAGTAAAACGTTTTGTAGTTTTATGTCTATAGAGATGAAATGTAAAATGCATTGATAATAATCATAAATATGTATGAGGAAAATGTGATATTTCAAATCACTTTTTATTATCTCGCAATTTTCACTGGATTAGTTAATTTTTAATTTAAAAGGGCATTAGGTAAGATTACATAAAGAGCTGACAGTTCTCGCTATAATAGTGAAACAATAGATAATGAAAACAGAATATGCTAAAAATTTCAGTCAAATTGCTTCTCCCTGAACAGAAATATTAGCGATTCAATTTTAGGCTAGCCTTGAACGTCATTACTTACTTTGGTGCGGTAAAAAAAAAACAGGTCTCGATTATCAGCTTTTACGTTAAATTATCCATCACAAAATGTATTCAAATCCACTAAATATCGCAAGCTAACGGTGGCATCGAGAGTTGATTATGGTCTGGATAAGTTAATAAATGTCAAATTAATAGTTTATATAAAATAAAACCAAGTACGAACAATCCAAACCATAAGACAGAATTCGAAGTCCTAAAAAACGTTCAGGACTAAAGAAAGACTTGCAGTAGGCAGATTTAGCTCTAGAATAATGTATGTTTAATAAGGATGAATAAAGTTTAGTTTTATTATTCAGAGAACGACGAAGCACGTTTTATTTCATTATCGAAGTTACTGCTCGTTTTCATGGTAGAATCCAGAATGAATTTTGATAGAACTTAGGTTAACATTTAACTTGTTTAATGTTGTCTTAATTAAGTAAGCCACGAGGATTGTTGGTGGGGTTGGTTGATGGAATAAGACAACATTGTGGCTTAATGCGGACGCGGGCATTATTTCACACATAAGTCTCGACTCAATCTGTTTCACAGAGTGTTAAGAAGGTCTTCTAATATCTCTGTAAAAGATGACTACCGTCAACACGGGACGTCTCATCACGCGGCATCAACCCCTGGCTCAATGACGAGTGCATTGTTTACATAAGACGTTACTGGTTCGGGCAGAATGGTGTTTTTTACTCATTTTAATACCTATTTACACTAAATAGGAAATAATTTTTACATAAAAATACGTCAAACGTCTTTATCTATTCTTCTAATATATAAAAAAATGTTTAAGAATTTAATTTGTCGGAGGAAAAAAGTTAATATTTGTGGCTCATTAAGTTGCATCGATGTCATCCTTATCAGTGATTGTAGCGGCTCGACTTTCCGGTGTTTTCTTGTTTACAAGAAAGAGTAAATGCTATATATTGAGACACCGATTTATTACCTCTAACCGGATCTGGTGCAGCTTTAGTGTAAGGATTTAAAGAAGTTAATAGTTTTTTTTTTAAAAAAAACATCAAATCTAAATAATTCAAACGCACGTTAAAAAGGCCCAGAACGCCATTACCTGGATATTGCACCAAGGTAGATTACTGCACGATCCATAAAACCTGCGCAAAAAAAGCACAATCATTTGACCGTGTACCGTCCACAAATTTCATGGATCTTTTCCGCAATATCTTCGACGATTTTGGCACACGGGCCCGCTTACTTGAAATTATAATGCTTTGATGAAGCTTTGCTCGAGGCCAACTTTTTTGGTCTTTTAATCCATACATGATATATAATGCACATATCTGACATGTTCTGAACAACATTTTTGATTTTTTATTCGCTATTTAAAGTAATATTAAAAATATTCAGAATGTATTTCTAGAGTACGGCGCCATCAATAAAGAGAAAGTCCACGCATCCGCCAGAAAAAAATCGCACGCGTTTAATTGAAATTGTATCTTTTCGTTAAGTGTTAATTATTATTTTCTTTAAAAAACATGTCTCTTAAATTCAATAAAGTGTTTACCCTATTTATGTGTTTAATTTTTATGAGAAGGCGGAGTGAGAAAATAAAACATCAACATAATGATATCGATTAAAAATGCAGTCGGAAGGGGGGGGGGCTGTTGATCTTGCCTAAGACCTATTTTTAAAGTTTCGAAAAAATGCGAAATTGTTATTTTTCTGATGAATTTTCATCCATGAGTTTTTGAAAAATTGTCTGATCTTCATGTTAAATTTTGTAGGTGGATTGTTAGTGACTATGACGTTGTTGTTCTTAGTGTTTAATGTCCTCTTCCACTGAAGGTGATATCGAAGACAAGTCTTATTTTTTTATTTTCATTATCTCCGCGCACCCGCAGGGGTCTTTCCTGTGGGAGGAAACCGGGGTACCCGGAGTAAACCCACGAGGTTGAGAAACCACAACCGCAAGCCAGAGGTGACGGGCCAGCTAGAGATCGAAGCGCGGCACTCTAGACCACTAGACCATCCCAACACCCCTAATGACTATGACACGTCCTACACCATTTTTATAGTCGTCGCCGCGTCGCTCTTCCGCCTACAATGAATTTTTAATCCGATTTTCCATAAAAATGCTGTTTAGTAAAACGATGAGACTTACTCATTTCGGCGATTTTTGATAACAACGTCCAGAGTTATTGCTCTTAGTCACTTTATATAATCTTTTGAATGCTCTATCAACATGTATTATCCGATCAATTTGAAATTTACATACATTATTCGTAGAGTTGTGACCCTTGTTCACTTAATATGCATTGTACAGATTACTGATACAAGAACGTATATCCGAAAATTAAATCCGCCATGGCCGTAAAATAGATTAAATTTTAGAGAATGTCCTTCAGCGTAATAAAACGTGAAATAAGTCTAACGAACTGGGCTAATGAAGACGGGCATACGCCATTCAGTGTGCTATGAGGGAAATGTTGCCCAAACAGCGGCACTTCAGCCTATTCTTATATCGAATTCCAGCTGTCAAGGGATCTTTTACGTGTATGCCAATGTGTAAACGAGACATCGGTTTTCCATCCCATCCGTAAGACTAGGCAGCTGTCCTTGTCAGGCCCTTTGTCTTGCATCACTGACAAGGGGCAACCACGCCGGAAAATCTGGATGAACTTTCTCGGCCAATGCAGGGATCGAACACCCAACCTCTAGGCTGGCGAGCCAGCATCTTACCCGCTTGGTCACCGTGATCCCCAGTCTTTGTTTTTAAGTACATGCACTGTTGTTGTGGTACCGAGAGGTTGTCCATTCAAAGTTGTAAGCACTACGCAAAAATTAAATGACTATCATATTAATTTCATCTAAAAATAAATTATCATTATGGCAAGGTAATAAAGTATCATATATTATAAAATGTCGTTGGTTATTTATAAAATAGTCTATATTGTCGTTGCTAAGTAATGATCTCTTTTCAACATTGATTTTAACTATCTGATTCCTGGAATTCTATTTCAGGCGGTTCTTAGAAAGACTATTGTCCATAAATTAACGTTTATTCCAAAAATTCAATCAATCGCTATTATGGTTCTCGTTTAGATAGTAATTTTGCGGATTTTTTCTTATCCAAAGAAACCACAGTAAAAATAATAATATATGTTAAACTTTATTCCAGCGACATTAAAATGAAAGCCACTATTAGAGTCAGTTTTTGTTCCCCGGGCAAGGCATGAAATCCATTGTCTGTTTCTCCGTAAAATTACTATAGAAGAAACCTATTAAACAAAAGTGATATGTCCATGTTTCTCCTGGTTAAAATACAGCATGAGCAAAGATGGTTGTAATTAAAGGGTTCGCAAACTTGGTATTACATGTACATGATTTAACAAGGGGGTGGCCATTTGTGAAGTGGGGAGGCCATTTTGAGTTTCAGTCCGATTTTCACGAAATTCGAACACAACTGTAATTACGATGTAACTAACGGTGGTATATATGAACGTTTTTATATACGCCTACGTTTTCATGTGGACGTATTTTGTCGTCTCACATGTGCGCCCGGATCCCACAATTTGTTTGTGGACACTCAACAGGTACCAATTTTTATCCGATTTTGACGAAACTTGAAATACTGGTTTATTTCCCAAAGATCTTTGTTCCTGTCGATATTGGCATGTATCGAACAGTAACTTCATTGATTATGGTTCTTGATTATACGATAAATCATGTGCTGCACTCCGAACAGAAATATTAGCGATTCAATTTTAGGCTAGCCTTGAACGTCATTACTTACTTTGGTGCGGTAAAAAAACTACAGGTCTCGATTATAAGCTTTTACGTTAAATTATCCATCACAAAATGTATTCAAATCCACTAAATATCGCAAGCTAACGGTGGTATCGAGAGTTGATTATGGTCTGGATAAGTTAATAAATGTCAAATTAATAGTTTATATAAAATAAAACCAAGTACGAACAATCCAAACCATAAGACAGAATTCGAAGTCCTAAAAAACGTTCAGGACTAAAGAAAGACTTGCAGTAGGCAGATTTAGCTCTAGAATAATGTATGTTTAATAAGGATGAATAAAGTTTAGTTTTATTATTCAGAGAACGACGAAGCACGTTTTATTTCATTATCTAAGTTACTACAAGTTTTCATGGTGGAATCCAGAATACACTTTGATAGAACTTAGTTTAACATTTAACTTGTTTAATGTTGTCTTAATTAAGTAAGCCACGAGGATTATTGGTGGGACTGGTTGATGGAATAAGACAACATGGTGGCTTAAAGGGACAATAACACTCTTGCTGGCTTGAAAGCTCCAGAAAATAAATAATATCTCTATCTAAGTACTAGATGTTTAAGTGTCCTACCTGTTGTGTAAATTATCCATTTCATCCTAATTTACTTGTCCAGAGGGTTCGAAAATATTTTTAAATCGAAGTTTCATTTGAAAAGGTTTACGTTAGACGTTTCAAACCATTATGTTGAATTTTTCAAAATTTTTAAATAAGGTGTGTTAAGATGAATTTTGTATCATCAATTAAATGAAATATTCTAAAATAGTACAATTTGTTGACCAGAATAAAGATTGGGACATATTATTCAGTTACGACAAGAGTGGTATTGAGCCTTTAAAGGAGCTGAATCGCTAATATTTGGGACCTAGAAATGGACACAAATGGGTCGCAAGGCATATAATAATGTAATGTGAATGTATATAAACTGATTTACATTCAACCGTTTCTGTCTTTACTGTTTACAAAAGAGAGTAAATGTTAGTCTATACCCGTATTGGTTACGCTTAGTGGTGCAGAACATATGTTTATAATTAAGAGATATGCATTTATATATTGTGACACCGATTTATTACATCTAACCGGATCTTTTAAAATTTTGAAAGAATGCGAGATTGTTATTTTACTGATGAATTTTCATCCATGAGTTTTTGGAAAATTGTCTGATCTTCATGTTAAAATTTGTAGAAGACGTGATAGAAAGTTAGTGACTATGACGTTGTTCTTCATAGTGTTTAACGTCCTCTTCCACCGAAGGTGATATCACAGACAAGTCTTATTTTTTATTTTCATTATCTCAGCCCACGCGCATGGGTCTTTCTTGTGGGAGTACCCGGAGTAAACCCACGAGGTTGAGAAGGCGCCCCTATCTCCAAGACACATACGCTCACACCAGGGATCGAAACCACAACCGCAAGCCAGAGGTGACCGGTCAGCTAGAGGCCGAAGCGCGGCTATCTAGACAACTAGACCATCCCAACCCCCTAGTGAGTATGACACGTCCTACACCATTTGTATAGTCGTCGCCGCGTGGCTCTTCCGCCTACAATGCATTTTTCATCCGATTTCCATAAAAATGTTGTTTAGTAAAACGATGAGACTTATTCATTTCGGCGATTTTTGATAACAACGTCCAGAGTTATTGCCCTTAGTCACTTTATATAATCTTTTGAATGCTCTATCAACATGTATTATCCGATCAGTTTGAAATTTACATACATTATTCGTAGTGTTGTGGCCCTTGTTCACTTAATATGCATTGTTCAGATTACTGATACAAGACCGTATATCCGAAAATTAAATCCGCCATGGCCGTAAAATAGATTAAATTTTAGAGAATGTCCTTCAGCGTAATAAAACGTGAAATAAGTCTAACGAACTGGGCTAATGAAGACGGGCATACGCCATTCAGTGTGCTATGAGGGAAATGTTGCCCAAACAGCGGCACTTCAGCCTATTCTTATATCGAATTCCAGCTGTCAAGGGATCTTTTACGTGCATGCCAATGTGTAAACGGGACATCGGTTTTTCATCCCATCCGTACGACTAGGCAGCTGTCCTTGTCAGGCCTTGTGTCTTGCATCACTGACAAGGGGCAACCACGCCGGAAAATCTGGATGAACTTTCTCGGCTAGCGAGCCAGCGTCTTACCCGTTTGGTCACCGTGATCCCCAGTCTTTGTTTTTAAGTACATGCACTGTTATTGTGGTACCGAGAGGTTCTCCATTCAAATTGCAAGCACTACACAAAAATTAAATGACTATCATATTTCATTTAAAAATAAATTATCATTATGGCAAGGTAATAAAGTATCATATATTATACAATGTCGTTGATTATTTATAAAATAGTCTATATTGTCGTTGCTAGGTATTTATCTATTTTCAACATTGATTTTAACTATCTGATTCCTGGAATTCTATTTCAGGCGGTTCTAAGAAAGACTATTGTCCATTAATTAACATTTATTCCAAAAATTCAATCAGTTGCTATTATGGTTCTCGTTTAAATAGTAATTTTGAGGAATTTTTCTTCTCCAAAGAAACCACGGTAAATATAATAATATATGTTAAACTTTATACCAGCGACATTAAAATGAAAGCCACTATTAGCCTATAGCGGAGTCAGTTTTTGTTCCCAGGGCAAGGCATGTAGATATGGGTGCATGGAATCCATTGTCTGTTTCGCCGTAAAATTACTATAAAAGAAACCTATTAAACAAAAGTGATATGTCCATGTTTCTCCTGGTCAAAATACGGCATGAGCAAAGATGGTTGTAATTAAAGTTTGATCAAAAATTGTGACTTCTAGGGGGTTCGCAACCTTGGTATTACATGATTTAACACAGGGGCGGCCATTTGTGAAGGGGACCGGCAATTTTCAGTTTAAGTCCGATTTTCATGAAATTCGAACACAACTGTAATTACGATGTAACAGTGGTATATATATACGTTTTTATATACGCCCACATTTTCATGTGGCATGTGGACGTACTTTGTTGTCTCCCATGTGCGTCCGGACCCAACAATTTGTTTGTGGACGCTCTACAGGTACCAATTGTTATCCGATTTTGACGAAATTTGAAATACTGGTTTTTTTTACCCAAAGATCTTGGTTCCTGTCGATATTGGCATGTATCGAACAGTAACTTCATTGATTATGGTTCAAGATTATACGATAAATCATGTGTTTACCTTGTGGACACAACTCTAGAGGTCACAATTTTTGTCCGATTTTGATGAACTTAAATATTAGTGGATTCTTGGTGTGTGTCGAGGAGGGGGCGGTGTGGGGGCTAAGTGCCCCCATCCCATACATCTCGCCCTTTGATTTTCAGCACGTAGTAAAGGAATTGGTTTGCAGAAAATATTTAATACTCTTGTATTTAGAAAAATGCACACGGCTCTCGATTAACATAATTATGAAGATATTGATGTGTATAATATTATTGTCTGTGAAAATGGCGAATATTGTTTGTGAAAATGGTGAATAAAAAATTACGAATTTGAAACTGATATGAAATATGAAACTTACCATCTAGAGACTGGAGTGAATAGATTAGGGATATCAAGTTAAATATTAATATCGTCCACCAATGCCATCTAATTGTCATGGCTGCTGAAAATAAATAATAATTATATTGTCAAACAGTGAATCTATTTGAATATTTAAATTATTAGAAAGAAATCGATAATAGATTCAAAGATAATAATTCCCTGGAGGTTTATTTATGAACAAAACATATCCGATTCGGGTTTTGTTACATAAACAAGATTCATGAATAATACACACTGATTGTGCATGTGAAACACTAAAAAATAAATTTGCTGTTGTCGTTCGGTTTTAGTTGTGTGGACTTGTAATTTCCCGTTATTCAGCTAATGAGTCATCCTTCTTCTGTAATATACTGTATATAAAGAAGTAGTAAATAAACGCTGAAATTATGTTTGAAACTATTTAATACAGTAAAACTTATACGTAGAAAAGGTGGGTCAATTTAGCAGGTATTAAACCTAGAATGATGAAAGGGTGTGTACAATTCATCAGTATATAAAGCCGCTACCATCTAAGGATTAAGGTTAAGGTACAGTTACCAAACCTAGCTTACAATGAAATATAAAAACAATTACAACTAATGAAATTAATAAGGATTAAGCTTTTTACGCAAATAAACGTTCTTGTGTCAACTGTCTGTTACAAAGCACACAAGACTAATGGCTTCAGTTCTATAGATTCCAATCTAAATAAGTTATTAAAACAACACGTTAGACATAAAATTAATTAATGAATAAATGTGTGAATAAATACTTTAACGAAACAATGAAGAATACATACAACAACATGGAAATATATACCCAGTACAAATATATTTGTGTACTTAGAGCATGTAATAAACCAAGAAGTAATAAATCCATAAAGTTGTGTTATTATGAATACTTATATGGTATTTACAGAGTATATAAAAATGACCGCTGCAAAAATTACACATCCTATGTTCGAACATAACTTGAATGTTACCATGTGTCTATTACTGAACCATGTGTTAGTACCGAAATCACCTAGTTTGTGTCGAGGTAACCTGGATATCCCGTGCTTAATCCCGGTGTGCAACAGTTCCCCCCCCCCCTTTGTTCGTGGTAAAGAACGGAGGACCTGGCAAGGACAACATGATCCCTTGACAACTGGAATTCAATTGTCAGCAGGGGCGGATGTAGGAATTTTGAAAAGGGGGGGGGGGCGCCGCAAAATGAGGGCACTGACAGCGGAGACGGGGCACTTTTAGGGGGGGGGGGTCCCACAAGAAAATTATCCGTCATTTCCTTGCATCTGTAGCCATTCCAAGAGCTATTTGGCTGATATTTTCGTCTAAGTTAACGTTCGCAAATCGTTGAAAAAGAGCCTTAAAATCGAGCAAAAAAAAAAACCAGTTGAACGTGCGACTCGAAAATTGTCAAGGCGAGCGAGGCATTATGATGGGATAAAAGACGAATCTATTCCCTAGCCAATTCACTATTTAAACCTTGTAACTTGTACTGTGTACTGTCCACACATGAAACAATGCTACATCAAGTTGCACTCATGCGCGCCGGTGATGGGCATATACGCCGCCGATTCCACAAGATGCTATCATTGATGTCTGTCTATAGTCACTCTATAGGATTAGCGCACCGTCAGCTAAACAACAAAAAATTCGTTTGAAAGTGGAAGCATTAATTAGACCAGACTGGTGTGTTTGAGTCGATGGTTTGAGTCATTTGGGATCCCTGCAACGGGTTGGGGACGGACATATTGGGTCTGAGAAAAGGCACTTTCAGCACTAAAAAAAAGGCACTGTCAGCAGGGGCGGATGTAGGAATTTTGAAAAGGGGGGGGGGGCGCCGCAAAATCTTTCCTCTGATCATAGCACACTACATGGTGTATGCAAATTTTCATTACCCCGATTGGTGCAGCAAAGTAGGACGTTAAACTCTATTTCATTCATTCATATTTCTCACAAGGCAGTGAGATATTACACGAGGTTTTCATTTGAAAAAGAAAATTAAAAAGAACAAATATTTCAGTAATAAGGTATAGACTTTAACACCTGTACATTCATTTGGTCACTGGGGTTGCACGCTAATTTTACAAACTGCTATAATATAATAAGTACGACGTAGCTTCGATGACACCGTATAGAGTTTGGGGTTGATTCCCAATGTGACCCATCAATTGAACCGTAACGGTGGTGGATGTGTACTATTTAGATGTAAATAATAGTAACATCTACTGTATCCCCTATTAAATTGACATAATATTATGCTTTGTACACCTGTTATAACAACACCGACACATTTACTATATACGTCAGCGAATCCTTTAAACTGGATCATTAACATACATATAATGCGAAAATCTTTCCGCAAATAACATAAGCAAAAGAAATCAATGACGTATAATGACCATTAAGCAATGACACGCTTTGTTACATGCACAACGATTTACTACGCTGAAATGTATTATAGATATACTTCACCTACCTGCCACCTGGTGAAATAAGCCGGCTAAGCTATAATGTCACATATATGCATTTAACGCAGATAAATTTAGACATTAGTAATATCCTAGAACTGAGGGCCGTATTGATTGGACACACAAAGGATGTCTACGTCACTGATAAATGTGTACTTATGTGAAAGCAGTTATTTCTCACGTTTCAAAAGGGCTAGGAAATCATGTGTTACCATACCGACTCCTAAATAAAGACCACATAGAAGACGATCCCAGGTAGATTGCGAAATAGCTAATTGATCAGATACAATCTAACCTTGGCCGGAAAAATCGTGTGTTATAAAGCTGGCGTGACATTCATGGTGTATATAAACATATTCATTTGATATCTTAAAAGCTTATTCTGGCCGTATTTATACCTCCTGTCTTTCGCGAGTGACAAGTTAATATTTTCCACTTAATCAGTATATATCAAGGACATAGTAAACAAGCAAAATTTATACAAACATGATATCCATGGAAGACGTTAACAAAGGCCAGAGGGAAAAAAGCATACGTTTAATATATTGGCAGTCGTGAAAGCTGGTCTTGAGTTTCTGTGAAAATGTATGGGTTTTTTTTTGCTTTAAGAAAAAGGCATATCTCCGGCACCCAGAATTGAAGTGATTTGATGTTTAATACTATTGATTAACTATTCTTTCAACTCGGTTGCTAGGCAAGCTGCCACAAATCAATAGAAAACATAAGTATTATGCAAAGGATTATTAGATGACGTTTAACGAATTGAATATTGTTTATGCATATGGTTCTTAAAAAAATTCAAAACACCGTTTGCATTTCACCGACTAAATTTCAAAAGACAGTTATTTTAGATATCGCGTAGTTGCTATAATAATTAAAAAAATATAAAGAAAAAAAAAAAAAATAAATAGATAAATAAAATAATATAATATAATATAATATAATATAATATAATATAATATAATATAATATAATATAATATAATATAATATAATATAATATTACTATTACTATACTATACTATACTATAATACAACAGTCTCTGATCCCTATAAATTGGGTAAATGGGTTAGTTTATATTAAGTACGCTTCCATCGAGGAGATATCACAGACAAGAAAATAATACTCCAAAAGGAGAGTATAAAGTATACATGTGTTTGAATAACGATATTTTGTTTGCTTAGTAATTGTGCTTAGTGGGTGTAGCTGATTTTACACCCTTTTCAGAAGTCCGTGGACTATATTTAGTTTTAAAAAGTGACTGTGCCATTGTTTAGTAAATAAACCATAACGACAAATATGGTAGTCCTTGTAAATAAGCAATAATAATACATATGATAGGCCTTGGGTGGCATTTAGCGAATATTTGAGCATACAATCAAACCGAGACTAGTTTGACTTTTGCAGATATATATGTATATCTATAAGCTCTAATTGATTACCGACTGGAAATATATCCAAATTAGCAATCGCAGTTAATTAATGAGATAGAGGCAGTCCGCATAAGGTGATTATTAGCTTTATCGTGTAACCGATATTCATTAATTTTGAGCTTAGTCACTGTAATTATTTTCCGTCTATTGTCCCCGGTCATTAGAAATATCATATTGTTAAGAATATATATAATAACTCACGTCTTTATGGATTACATTCACTAGGTTTATTAACACCGGGATCGAATATTGGACCCGTGGAATAGCGAGCCAACGTCTTACTCACTGAACCACGAGAGGAATTGCGAGAGTTAAAACTATATTTATGTGCTGTAAAGTATATCCTTTGTGATCCCCTGAAAACTTTTTTACCTCGATAGTTTTTCTAGATCTTGCCAGTATCGGCGCTATCCATAATAACTATCATCATTTTTAATCAAATTTCAATATTTGAAAATTTCTCGTTTCAAGTAAATCATATTATATTGGAACCAATAATCAAAACGTGCTCGCTTGTAGAGACATTATGTGACAATATTTATTGAAGATTCAGGGAAAAGGTTTCCCGTCACAAAATCGAAAGAGCAGCCATTATGTAACCTAGCATGTTCAAATGAAACGGGGTTTAACGTTCTACATTTCTGCCTAACCCGGTTATTGAAGAAGGGCATACGCCATATAGTGTGGTATGGGGTGTCTTTTGCCAGGACAGCTACGCTACGATCTACACTTGTTTCGAATTTCGGATGTTCCCGAACTTGCATATCTATATGTACATCTGATCTATGTTTTTCGTCTCATCCGAATGGCTTGCAATACCAACAAGGCTAATAATAATAATAATAAATCTTTATTCAGTATATCAGGTCATTGACCCATAATACAGTGACATTTATTATGACATTTGTATATATTTGCAATACGAAGAACATAATATATACATTAATAATGTTTCAACAACCAGCAAGCTACCCCTAGAACAAGTAATGTGGTGCAGGACCGAGGACCTGGCAAGGGGCAACGTATAGTCGTTCGGATGGGGCGCAAAACCGAGGTCGCGTGTACGAATTGGCTTGCACATTAAAGATTCCTTGGCAGTCGATATAAGAGTAAGCCGTGGCGCCACTGGCAGGGCAAATTTTCCTCATACCACATTGTATAATGTATGTCTGTCTT